AGCCATCATAATTGTATTGCTTACAACTCCATAACTAGTTGCGTGTCTTGTAAAATTCTCAAATGAGCTAGTATTTCAAATAGATTGGATTCTAAAGATTCGACCAATGGTAGTTTCCCAATTCATTCCTAAAATTACTAGAATAATTTCTCGGTACTTTAACTTGGTATAGATTTAAGCTCATAGATGGTAATATGGTGAAATGTTTTCAGTATACCCCGAGGGAAGTGAGATAATCCAGGAAAAAGAAAAAACCAACTATTGGTAGAAACTTGACAATCGTAATAATCAATGGTAAGTTTTACAGATTCATTAATATTGGACACGAAATGAATCCTATGCACCGTTTTGTTACAAAAAAGAGCTTTTACAATTTATTTTTCAATTTTTCGAGATCATATTTCCCCCCCAACTGTTGCTATTTATTGGAATTTACGGTTACATCAACATAAGATATTTGAAACAGCTACCATTGAGGCGTCATACATGTCCCTTCACCTTGTCTCCGTGTGTTTGAGCATCTCTCTCCTGTTTTAAATACCTTTAATATCAAACGTGTTATCGGGGAAGAAATTCGCGCGTTCGCAATTTTTCATTTTTAGTTCGTTTTCCAATTTTTGCTATATTATCTATTAGATATAAGGAAAGCCTTATATTCTGTTTTCGGAATTTATTTAATATATATATTATTTTCTATATACACTATATATGACCAATTCGTCCTCCTTCCCATTCTGTCAACTTTATCATCGTAAATACTGTTAAAAACAAGAGGGCGATGCTCAAATATATGGACACGAAGACCAAAATCAGGTAGTACGGGTATACAATCTGTCACAGCAGACTACAGGTCGGCAGTCTTTACGACTAAAGTGGAACACCCAGATAGTGCGCAATTTTTGATGAGGTCATCGCTCACGAAAAACAAATCCCATGAAACCCACAGAAGTTTTTGAAATAAATAAATGTAATAGCCTTCTGGCGAAAAATACCATCTTTACCCACGAAAATTTTCAATTAGATTGGCCCAGTAGTAAATAAAAAAGAAAAAGTAATTTGTTTTCATAATAATAAAAGAACATGAAAAAGCGATTTTTTCATAACAATAAAAGTAAAATACCAATATAAACAACAACATAATAACAAAACAATCCATATGTTCACTTCGTGTCCAACAAGAGGGCAATGCCAATGACCATTCCGCGAAGGTCAAAGGCTAACTTTGAATTAAATATGATCTCATTTTAAATGATAATACGATCATTCATTGCTGTCCATGGCGCGACGCAGTGAGACATTTATTTAGTACTTAACATTTTTAAATAATATAACTGAATATAAACTTTGAAGTGTTTATGTTAGTATGAAATATCAGCTGGTTGTAGTTTATCATTTGTATCATCATGCAGAAGGCACCAAAAAGGTGGTGAAATATCGGGTCTCTAATGACTGAGAAGAAATTTAAACAATAATATATATTGCGGATAAAAGCAATTCCTTTCCTTTGCAACAACGCAGTATACCACAAAATGCACCTTGCAGATAAATTATCTTAATTCGAATTGCCCGTGTTTTCATTTTACAACTTATTATTTTTCGAGAATGGCTGAACGTGCGTAACGAAGGACCTTTTTAGCTCCATTAATCATTTCTAAATAAACTTGAAGCTTGGAGTAAGCACATTTCCTCAGCACAGCTCTTTTCATTCTATTTTCTTTTTTCAGAATGACAAAATCAAGTATGACGACATAATCTATAGAGTAGTTCTATGAATTTGGTGTATTTCGTAAATAATTCTAACCCATGTCGGTGGTTGTGGAAGGGTGCATCATATATGAAATAAACTAACATAATTTAAATGGCTATCGTCTCTAATACAGAATTTTAATTAAACTTGAGCAAGTATTCATTGTGGTGGAGTTATCGTATTGCTGCCAGGCTTTCATATATATACACAGGGCACTTAGGTTGAAGGTTTATCTTTCGCAGGGCTTGCAACTCCCATTCAATCAGTTGTGGCCAGTTCAGCGAGGATTAACAAGTAACAGGGACAATTTGACATTAAAGAAACTATTATTCAGTTGATATTACCGTGTTCTTGAGCGCCATGTTTCCGCTCCTTGGCACTTGAAGTAAATAAGTTTATGTCAAATCGATGTTTCACAAAAACTCGTATAACAAGGCTGAGAAGGACAGAAAAGTCCAGTTCACTTAATAAGTTCCATATTTCCATACCAAACTAATTTCCAAGGTTGGGAAACATGGCTCTAAAAATAAATTAAGGTAATGAATATACATGAAAATTACTTATTACGATTTTCTAATACCGTATTTATCTGATAATAAAACGCACTTTCAGTCCTTTTCTTTTCTCAAAAGTTTATCGTGCGTCGTATAAGCCGGTTCTCCCCTAATATATAAATCAAGTAGTGCTTTTATTGCCGACACCCAAAACCGGTACTATCGTTATATAAACAACCGCAGTTTTATATTTTCTTTGAATAAAACAGAATCTCTCTTTGGCGGAATGGTTATCGATGACCAATCGTGGCACTCTTTGCGAATCGTCGCCAATGACTCCTGCGCTTCTGCTGATGACCGTGTTGTCTTTCACGTTGTCTGACATTCTCGTTAATGGTCTTCCCCATTCTCTATTGTCAGGGGTTGTAGAAATGAACCGATATTATGTTAGGTGGTCTGTTCTGGCAACATGTCCCAGAAATGGCAATTTCCTGTCATTGATATAGTCCAGTAGACTAAGCTAGGAAATTTGAAAGGGGACATTAAGATGTCAGGCAATCAAACAGCACTTTAACGTGGTAGTCGAGATAATTTGACAATTCAAACCTCCGCCATCTAACACCCCCTAAATTTGGAAACACTTCCTAATAGAATGAAAAGTTTGGTAGTCCAGCGGATAAGAGGTAAAATCATGCACTTTTGGATGCAAGCATGAAACTTGGCACACACGTACAGTAGCATCCCCTGATAAATTTTGGATATGGTGCCATCCGAGAAAATACTCCGTTTCCATGAAAACGAGGCATCATTCGTATTGCTATTAAAGTGAAAGAAACATTACATTAGGAAAGGATATTTACAAGATAAGTAAACCGGTGTGTATTTAAGAAGTAAAGAACATGACCAGAAGTGCATTTTGACAATTGCCCGTGATAACAGAATACATGGTTACCATGGAAACGAGGTATCGTTATCGACCAAACATTATTAGTCGCACAACCTGACTGGCGAGTAAAGAAGAGTTGTAGAATGGTCGGTGCCAAGAAAATTCATTAGATCCGACCAAAGCTTGCATTTGAATTGTTTCCCACAATCTGTGATGATCCTCTTTGGTGCTCCAAATCGTGATATCCAGCTAAATACAAATCCATTGGCAACACTTTCAGCGGAAATATCAGACAATGGGATACATTCTAACCAACGTGAGAAACGATCTACACACATAAGAATGAAATTGTAGCCTCTGCTTAATCCGAGTGGACCTAATATATCAACGTTGACAGTGTCGAATCTATCGCATGGCACATTGATATTTGTCATCTGGGTACGTGTATGACGTTGCACTTTTGAACGATGGCATTGAGCGCATTCGCGAACCCAGCCATTCCGGGCCACACGATGCGTGATGAAATTAGATCAGTTGAGCCTCTGGCACCAGGATGAGCTAAACTATGAATATTGTCAAATAGTTTCTTGCGTAACGATTTGGGTACAAATGGCCTCAATTTATTATCTGCTGATGTATCGAATACTAATGTTCCGCTTAGCTCTGCGATGGGAACATCTACTAGTTCAAGAGAATGCTTCTCAGGATCCCGTTTGTATTCGATAAGTTCTTGATCGTTTTGTTGAGCGGCGTGAAGTTCATGCAAAGAAATTGACTGTGGAGGCTAAAAAATGCTATTGACGTTGATGTTGGGATGAATTGAATTAATTTGAATACGAGATAATGTGTCCGCGACAGTATTAAGAGAGCCTTTCAAATGTCTGACGTCATCAGTGTATTCGGAAATTAACCGTGATGGATGTAGATGTCGCTATAGGTGTTTTCATACATGACATTGCAATAAATGCGAGATTCGGGAAGAACAGTCACAGATTTAGCTTTGAATAGTATACACTATTACCCTTATACATATGAAGTTTATTTAATATAAGTTCACGGGTATATCAGAGTCTAGCATTTGCTGCAAATTTTCCGTATTTCTTGTTTGGTCCGACTTATCTGCAGTTCCGCCTTACAATTATTAGAAGGAAATCATATATATATGTGTGGGATAAATTTGCACTGAAAGGCGGAAGCAACGGAAAGTTTATACTTGGGTGTGCATGTTCGGGGTAATTGCAATAAAATACATATTTCCCGTACCCATTCCCGCTTTTTGTAACATTTTCCCGCTTTTTGGTAAAATTTTCCATCATTCCCGACGAAACGACGGGAAATGCAATAAAAAGCGGGAGCGACGAAAAATTCCATTACTGTACGGGAAATATGCATTTTAGACTATGCGAGGGGTAAATTTGCACTGTAAAAAACGGAAAGTTCACACTTGAGTGTGCATGTACGGGGTAATTGCAATAAAATGCTATTACCCGTATCTTAGAGCCATTTCCCGTCACTCCCACTCTTCGTGAAACTTCCCGCTTTTTAGTGCAAATTCTGTACCCACACAACCCAAGGGTATATTTGCCGTTGCTTTCGCTTTCTACGCCAATGTCCCCTAAACATACTCAAAAATAAATATTTCCGGTACCTTAAAGCGATTCCCCGTCCTTGCCGCTTTTGGTGAGCACAGCCTGACGATTGTACCAATTATCGCAACCACTTCGGCCAACGTGAACTGGTAACATGACGAGAGGTCGTGGTACGTTACATGATTAAGTCGTCTTTTCGACTTTCCTCTCCTGTGATAAATGTTTCTCCGACACTCTGAACCTACTCACTCCATTAGTCATATTTACATACAAAGCATAAGCCATGAGGATAAAATAAATAATTATTATTCTTATTATAATCAATTGAAACACGGAAAAACACCCTATAGGAAAATCACCAATTGCAAAAGTTTGCACAAAATAAACTTGCATTTGCGTAATGGCTGCTGTAACCAAGCAAATGAATTATCTAGCCGCAAAACATAGACGCCAACAGCACAATTGAGAAACTTTGATTCAAACTGTAAGAGTAACATGATTTATATTTGAAGAAATTCGTTCGATTCCTCATTCTGAATAATTTTCTTTGAACGGCCAGTACTTATGATCACTTATCCTAAAAAAAATATCAACATTAGGATAGGATTTACGTATTTATTTATGGGAATAGATAGCCAGTTATTTGTTTCATATGCATGGACTTGGTCGTGGAGGAAGACATAACCGACCAACGGTTACCACCCTAGTGCGGCGAGAAGTCCAGCAATGCTTTTCCGCGTAATTACTATGTATGAAATCAACATTATTAGGGAGACAATCTAAAATAAAGTAGAAAATCAAGGAAATATACACAAACCATTCCAATCCACATCCCCGGAAATTTTTGTTGAAGCCTCCGATTACTGCCATGTCATCGTCAGTCAATTCGAAATCAAATAACTATAAAAAATGAACTTTTTTAATGATCAAAAAATAAATATTTTAAAACCATTTTATACACAATGAACACTGTTCCGTGAACAGCGATGTTCTGTGAACAGCGAGGCGACCCATGTTATAGTCATAAAACAATGAATTGCATGAAACAATGAAGAATTGATAAAATTATTTAACTGAAATATGGTATTCATCGAAAAAACAGTACATAAAAGGAAAAAGCATCATTAGGTGCTAATAATATTCAAACTATAATTTCTTACAAAATTTGAACAGAAAAACTGTAGCTAATACTTTTTACATACTAGAATCAATGAAACGATACCAGCAGTCAACACAGGTATTCAGAAATTAGTGCCATACTTCTAGTATAATAATCCTGTAGGACTTTACCAACATAAAAAACCGAACGAGATGGCCATATGGTTAAGCTGTCTTACCGGCTTTCTTCTCCCCCAGGATAAATATGTAAATCTCATCCTATGTCTAGACTAGATTTACCTGAAAATTACTAGCAATCCGTGAAGGTGTCACACTCTTTGGTATCACTACAGCACCACGCTGAACCTGATACCTCAACACAACTTGAGCAGTTGTCTTCCCCAATCTTTCAGCAATTTTCTTGATCTTGGGATCGTCTAAAAGCACCGGTTCTTCCGGCTTTGCCCTTGATAATAAATTTGAAATAGATTATTTTATCTATGTTAACTTATTCATTTAGTCTCATTTGTTATTTTATTTGAGCATTTATTAAACTTGTTTGAAAAAATTAGTATTGAAAACCTGGCCCTGTGGCTTTGTCATATCATTTTCTAAGTGATTCTCATAGATACAATATTGGGCGAAAAACCTTTCATTCAGTCTCTTCTTTTTTTTTGTTTTGTTGGTGGGAGGGATGATGATGGGGCGCAGTTAGGAGACAATAATTGTAAAAAGTTTGAAAACCATTAATTCGGCCATTTTTACTTAAACTATATTAAACATTCATAATCTAAAGCAGGGGTTCCCAAACTTTATTGTCCGCGGGCCAAAATTTGTATCGGAGGGATGTTCGCGGACCAGAAGAGTGTAGCACCCGAAAGTGCTAAACTAAATTACTGCCCTATGTGTGTGGAGGCTAACTCGCCATGGACCACTCGCCATGCGACGTCGGTTAACGGGTATGCCTGCGAGTTGCGACTGCACGAAGGCTCTTCTTGGGAGATGGAAAGGTGGCTGTTTCACTTACAACTTCAATAGCGAAGATAAATATATTAAATTAAATGTGTTTGGTTAGAATACTGTGCAAGGGATAACAAAGTGACAAGAAAACGTGTTCATATATAAACAGCTATCTTTCCATCTCCCAACAAGAGCCTTCGTGCAGTTGCAGGCATACCCGTTAACCGCCGTCGCATGGCGAGTGGTCCATTGCGAGTTAGCCTCCATGGCGAGTTAGCCGTCAGCCCCCTATGTAATCGTAATACCGGTACGAATAACTGAGATGACGCTTTAATTGAATTGTTACGATAAACAAGTGCTTAAAGTGTGATAATGGCGTAACACTTGGCGGTATCTAGAATGTAAGAGGGTGAAACAAAATCTGTTGCACACTATTTCACTCAAGCTCGCCGGGTCGTTTTAAATCGTCACGCAGGCCGGATTTGGCCCACGGGCCGCGGTTTGGGAACCCCTGATCTAAAGGAAGGGTTTTAGTATTTTCAGTCCCATTAGGATATGTTCTGTCTAAATGCTGGTGACTTTACAGCCAATATCAATGTTCCACCCGTGAGAAAGCTTCTTGACCAAAATATCATCACCCAACAACAGACAATAAATTAAGGGCAGGCAAGGTTTCTGGACCAGGGGCCAAAAAATTTGCCCCTTCAGACTGGTGGGCCATGTAAGTGTGACATAAAAAGTTACATTTTATGAACAATATTTACAGTGTTACAAAAGCAAAAGTGAAAAACAATAAACTTCTGGCCAAAACTAAATTTAATCACAATCTCAACAAATTCCTCGACGTATTTTTTAAATTAAACATCAAACTTTGGTTTTAGTTTGGTTGTGGCAGCCTCAGATGGTCCAGATTGTAACCAACGGGCTGTATTTGGCTTGCTGGCCGTAGTTTGCATAAGTCAGCGATAAAGTTGCATACACAAATCGACTCTTACAAACCTACCATGGTCTATCAGGAGATCCCAATGGACTGTATGCAGTGAGTACAATTCCTTTAGATTTGCAAAACTTCAGTAACAATTCGTTCGTTAAATATGGATGAGATTCAACTTGATTGACAGCAGGAACGACAGAACATTCTTTAATTATTCTGTTAATTTGATATTCGTTGAAGTTTGAAACACCAATGTTCTTCACAAGACCTTCTTTCTGAAGTTTCTCCAATTCCTGGAATAAAACAGAATTCCAGTACTACTGCTAACTGAACTTTTATTGCATTATCGCCTCCAAAAAAGTGTATGCCCAAGATTATTATGAGCATGTAAATTGTAAAGCAATAAACGACATTAAATATGTGAATGACAACTGCTGTAAGGATTATTGAATTCATAAGAGAGATTTAACAAAAAGCATAATATACTTTACTAAACCCATCACTCTATTCACTATCAGTAAATATGCGATTATAGACTTCTTATTTATAAAAATTATTGGTAAATGAGACATATGGTTATGCTATGATCAGTCTGCAAATGATCAGTTCTCTTTTCTCGGGTGAAATTAATACTTTCAAGTATCCACATACCTTCCAAGTATCCACATAATCATCATCGCTGTAAATAAATTTCCCATTATCGTCTTTTGGAAACAAACCTTTGTCACCGTTCTGCAAAAATATGAAGAACAGTTGAGGCATTTGATTTTTTTAAGCAAAAGAATACAGGTGAAGTTATTAAATGGCTTTCAAGTAATAAAACAGAATTACGAAGATTTGATTTGTCACCTAAACAAATGAATATCTTACCACCCCAAATAAAGGTTAAAAATGCATAAAAAATATATGTATCTTTATCATGTTCTGTTAAATAATAATAAAACGCTTTTTTTCAGAAAGAGATATACAACACGCCTAGGAAAATGCTACAGTGATAGTAATAGTAATAAAGCATGAAACTACTGTTGTACTAGATTTTCATGGATGAACTGTACATTGGCAGTAAAATTCCATTACAAACAATTGCAAATTGGCGCCAAATTATGCTGAATAATCACTAAGCCCATTTTATTTCATATATCACTACCGGTTCTTATGTGAAACAAACAATAAGTTATGTATTAATTTATGTTGAAATTTGTTGCATGCCACTGTGAGAAAGAAAACTATGTTTGCTAATAGTCAACAAGATAAAATTAAATATTCTCCTCAATGTAGCACGATGCGAAAGAAGAATAAATTCTGAATAGCTATTTTGTAATAATGAAAGATTCCACTTTGATGTGGCTCATTCACTGAAAAAACTTTGCTATCTTTGGACCTGGCATGTTTGTGTGTCAATATTCCATTGTCAAGTTTTTCTCTTCTAGATTTGGGCTTGTTTTTTTGTGACTTTGGGCAAACCTACGCATACAATAAAAAAAAATAAAAAAAGTTTAACGGATTCAGATTCGAAAGATTTGATTAGAATATTTCTGATTCGAGATTTGATTCGAACAAAAATGTATCCAGAAGTGGCAACCCTAGGGCTCTCACACATATTTCCATCACAGAATTCGAATAATCAGAGATGCGATGGAAATGGCATCCATTAAAATATAAGTTTTTAGCAGTTGTGCCAAGTTTTGATGAAAAACAAAATATATGCTGGCATGAAAGACCTTACCACATATCCCTGCGGCCAATGCATTAAATAAAGGTCAAGGTAATCAGTTCTCAATGATTTTAAAGAATCCATCAAAGTTGGCTTCACATCTTTTGGGTTATGAAATGTATTCCAGATCTGAAAGTAAAAATTGTTAATATTAAACAATGTTTTCAAGGACACACATACAACGAATTATAAGATTTTCCTTTATTTCTTTGCAAACAAAATGAAATTGGTTAGCCTTGTCATCTCAAAAGAAATATCAACAAATTTTTATGTTTTTTACAAAGTGTTTCAATGATTGTATTAAATATACAAAACTCTCAAAGTGTCAATTACTTCATCCATGATTTGTTGATAGACTGAATGTTGTTCTGACTGAACAAACTTGTGGCCGGCAAAATACATATAATATTCAGTAAGTGTATTCAAGTACATAAACTCAAGATAATATTCAGTAAGTGTATTCAAGTACATAAACTCAAGATAAATCCACAGAACACAGAAGCATCCATAATAAAGTACAGGATGTCCCAAAATAAATGAAACCCATTAATTCGATTATAAATTTTGTGGGTTACATTTATTTTAGGACACCCTGTATTTGATACATCAGGATATTTAAAACGGTTTACAGCATTTTAGCCCATGAACATCTTGGACCAGATGTTTCTGCCCACGCTGCTCAAGTGTGCAGTCTTGATTGCTCTGATTGAATATTTCGTTAATGGAAGTGAAGTATTTGTTATTATTATTAATGAAGGGCCACAAAACGTCTGTCTGTATACTATTAAAACCAATGCAAATTTTGTACCTTACTAGTGATGAATAAGTCCTCCCTCTTCACTTTCCCTTCTGTAAGTTTCACCTCCACACCCTCTCCAACCTCATTTTCATTCTGGTAGACCAGAGCACAATCAATATGACGATATCCTACATCAATTGCTGATTCTACAGCAGCCTTCACCTCACCTTTCTTGGACTGAAAAATAGGAACAAAGGATTAACATTTAAGATATTGATAGTGACATGATATAGATTGCAGCAGTAGAGGAAAAATAAGGATGCATATAAAATTCTACACTCTGTGAACTATGCAAAAATAACATTTCTAATTTGATAATTTACCTATGTTTATAGGTTATTTCAAATCCATAATCAGCACAACAGATGATAAAATTGATAAAACCAAAATAATACAAACTTATTAAGGAATCAAAAAATTGGAACTATAATCATGATTTGAAATCAGATAATTTTCCTTGTCTAGTTGAAGAAATACAACTTAGACAACCTACTTATCTAAAATACTGACTAGGTTTTGAAATAAAAATCTCAGTTGGCACTTTGTGCCAAAAAATTGAAAAAGGCTCTTTACCGCACTGCTGATTACCGCGCATTAGCTTGTAAGCCTGAAGCACAAGCAGATAATTATGAGCAAGAGAATTGGTGGGCTTCCAGTAAAGTCATTTAACTTTCTTTATTAATATTGATTCATTGAAATATTTTAAGTAGTCATTCCATTTGAACCCAAATATACGAACGAACAAAAAAGACTTAATAAAAAGAAAGTTTATTTCAGCTCTGAAGGTTGCTTGTAACACTAAACAGGAAGCAATATGCCAGTCATAGCTTTAACAAGGATAATGATAAATTAATCGTTGAGCATAAACACCGCACGGTAACAAACCGTCACAAATTACTTAAATTCATCTGCTCATTGTAAACTGCGTTGTTGATTTGGTTAAAAATAGACTTTGACGAGGGACACTTACTACACATCCTCAAATGAAAGGATCAAACTTTTACTATTGAAAACGAAACCATATTTATTTTTCCAAAAAAGCAAATCAGTAAGGATAAAATACCCTTTCACATTCACTGACAAGATGAAACAGCTTGCAAGATCATTTAAGGCCAAATCTTGCAAGTCACAACCACTTAACTATAAGATTCACACATTTATCCTGAGGAGAGGATTTTTTACATTTTTATCCTGAAAAATGGAAGCCAATAAGCAGTGGCGTAGCCGGGGGGTGGTTTTGCGGGTTGAACCCTCCCCCCCCCTTTTAAAATGTAAAAAAAATAAAATCATTTTTCTGTATCATAAATAGCAATTTTTCCGCAGCTTAAAATGTTTTTTAAGAACCTGTAGGCCCAGAAGAATAATAAAAACACACGAATTCCAGCGTTCGATCGGACCCGCTAGCTGTTTCGATCTAACTTGGCAAATAAAAATTTCAGAACCTCTGCCAATAAGTATAAACAATCAAGAGTTTAATAGCCTTTAGTTTGGTTTAAAATTTACATATTTAGGTTATCAGTTTAAACATCTCAGCTGTGAAGATGCAACTGAAAAGTAAACGACATTACTTAGCTGGTTGGAGTGAAAGATCAGAAAGTGTAAAAATCTGGAATAATGCAGTAATGCTTTCAATATTACTGTATTACAGTGGTATTAAAGTCTGCAAATTGCCTGATACAATTATCAGATTGCAATCAACTATTCCCGTATTCCCACGCCAATTCTTACCTCTGTCTGTCTGTACCTTATTCAGTTATCACTGTCTAACTGTCCACCATACAACATTATAGACGGTCATAATGCTGTAATCAGCATGGCCATACCTACGCGCCTCAACGGCAGTGGGTATTTACTGACTTACGAGTACCAGACACCTACAAACAGACATGTCTAATTATGTATAGGCTAGTTGTATAAACCCACCTTCCATGTTCCAAGTCCCACCATGGGCATTTTTAGCCCAGTTAGCAATGTTGCATTAGGCACCGCAGGCATTTTGTGATAGAACCTCGACTTCAGCAAACTGCTACAAGATATCAACGAATAAGCTGGCAAAGGACGTGCACCGGTGCAAAGTACAAAACGGGAAATGAGAGAGGCGCCGGCCGGCATCATCAGGTCTACACAAATACCTTATCAGAAACAGTTTTACGCGAGTTTTCGTGCTAGTTGGGATATTTATATTTAAAAAAAAAATGCGGCGTTTAATATTTTTAGGTACCTGGACATTAACTTATATTTTATTTTTTTGTGTTCCGCTATATATATTTATTGTTGTCGTGATTCACAAATAATTTTTCTATAATTGCAGTCTCGGTTAGATCAAAAAATTTTTGCTTATCTAAAGGTGTTCTATCTCTGATGACGGAGCAATCCGTCCTTCACGACTCCTGTCATTTTGATGGTACTCGATGGTACTTTTGATTCAAGTGACAGATGACATAACCCTGACTCTGACATGCTGATTACACAGTCGAAAGCTAAACGCTAGACCTACTTATCGTTATATAGCAATTTGTTGTACACCTCATTTTACTACGGGATAGCCTGGCACATATGGAACGGATTCGTGATATCTATTATATAAAATTGTATGTTTTATCACTCTGCACAAGAAAGAAATGTGTTCTAGGCGTACACAACTACAGTATCTGTATTCCTGCTGTTGTTAAATTTGTATAAGAGCATTTGATGCTCACCAATTCCGTGCACTATGAAGCACACAACTGGTTAATTATTCCCCTATAACCGGGTCAGATGTTGTGGTTCTCTGTGATAAAGTCTTCCTAACGGCTTTCCTCTTCGTGGAACAGTTATGAAAAGCCTATGTCGAATTGCGATTAAACGCACAATATAAAAGCTATTTATCTCACGCAACAAAAACAAAAGCAGACAAAAGCTAATGAATGCCGCTCGTATCAGTTTGTTGGAGTGTTTCATTTTTGGTATGATACCTATAAGGGTTCCCACCGACGCACTGGTTTGCGTTGTTTTTGCGCTGAAGATTCAAGTAGAGAGTGTACATACATCGGTTGCTCGAGTTAAAGAAGATGTATATGATGTCCTCGTTGCTTTAGCGCAGCGCGTCATCTGCTAAAATAAACGAACGATCTCAGCTGCAGTAAATACACACCGATATTGAGGTTGCTAAATTGAAGGAGTTGGAGGGGTATTCTTTGTTTGCGTTCGGGAGGAATGAATACAGAGATATGGCATGGAAGGGAAAAGCGTAATGCACAAATGAACAAAAAAATGTGATTTTATGAGTAGTCTATAATAATTAGACACTGATGGAAACAACATACTCACTTTTTAATTTTCCCCATAAATTTGAAAGCAACCGCATTTATTTGAAGCATTCCATGTCATGCACTCCGCCAAAAAATACTAACTAATTCTTCATTCAAAACAAGGTAGCTATCGTCAAAAAACAGTGTTTTTCAACACCGTTCAAATTTGACTCATTTTCAAAAATCATATATATCATGGTTCATTTCTATTCAGTAAGTATCGTAGAGCATAGGTTCTCAAAGTGCTCCGTACGGAGCCCCAGGGCTCCGCGAGAGAAACCCAGGGGCTCCGCGAGCTATTCGATTACTTTTCAAATACTGACTCAAAATTTTGTAACTGTTCAAAGAAGCGATAACAGCTCAGATAAAATCTGACAACAATATAGCCCCGAAATATGGTAAAGAGGCGAAATTAAAAAAATGACATTATTTATAATCAGGAGTGTAGCCAGGATTTTTAAGAGGGAAATGGTTCAAAATTGGAATCGGAAATTTCCGCGCAACATTCTTCGCGATTAAAAAAACGGATAACGAGATTTCTGTTGCGTAAAATATTCAATCCATGACCGATGCGAGCATTTAACGTGTCTCGTCGTTATAATGTAATTGTGCTCATCGTTACTCACACTGTCGGTGCAAAACACTAACAATTGAAATTTATTTTATTGCATTCGGCTCTGTCGCTAGTTTCAGAATGAAAAAAGGTACATCGCGGATCACGTGCACAATTGACTGCGTGCGGCTCCGTCGGTAGTTTCAGAATGGGAAAAAAGGTACATCGCGCGCACAATTGACTGTGTTTCGATTTCGCAGTTACTACGATGAAAACCTAACATAACACCAAATTTTGTAATTTACAATGTCTATAAAAACGTTTTCTATCTGAGATGAGTCTGCTGAAAACCAAACTTGTGATCTTCTCTTCTAAGTTTCAGTTTTAATATTTTAGAATGCCGTTTTTCAATCAAGAAATTTGAGTTGCGGATTTACCTCTTTATTAATTATTATTTTTAGCATTTCATCGCCGATGGCTATAATATGGTAACATAATTTTCACATTGAACTCATAATTCCCCACGAGAACAAAAAAGCAATTAACGTCGTCAATGTGTAACAATACATGTATATATATGCCGAGGGAAATTTTTGATTCACGTGGAATAAACACCGGCGGTAAAGATGTTTAAAGGTTCAAAGATACGCCATGCTGACGAAAAAAATCGGCAATCGAACAAAATGCAATCGCGCACGTTATTAGCGGCCTTTTAGGTCTTCCAAAAATGTCAAAAGGGAAAAGATTCGACCACTAATTTATTAATGTTTGTCAAGTGTGAAATTTACAGCTTCAGTATATATATAATTTATGTTTGAAATTTAAATTTATGTATGACTTGTATTAACCCTAAGGTTCAGCATTTAAATTAAGTAAAGTACTTTTAACTTGCTCAGGAATATTAATCTGAAAGTAACAATTTTAACATTTATTTTTTGGGGCTCCGTGAATAATAGTAAACCTTTTCAAGGGCTCCGCAACACCAAAAGTTTGGGAACCCCTGTCGTAGAGTGCAAAACAAAGCAACCCGGTCCCGATGTTGGATTTGCCGTCATGCCCGACTAAGTTCGTACATATTATTGCCACTGAAATGTATACACTCACTTCTCTTGAAACCGTTTACATTTTTCATGGAAATTTGAAACCTATGGATATTTGAACCCATACTAACCCATGGATTTTAGCACCCGCATATTGATCGAGCCCACGGATTTATGGGTTCAAATGTACGTGGGTTTAAATGTGCTGTCACCATATAAACACATACATGCTTAGATGGTAGACAAGACCCAAGCTCCGATTGTTGTAGGCAATTTTTTTCAAAATACCGTAACTAAAATATAAATTTTTGCAGACGGCTCGAAACTCACTTTTGAAGAATGATTTGCTGGCTCCATGAGGTTTTGGCATGGGAACACATCTAGAGGGAATTTATGAGGTTCCATTACATTTGAACCCGTGTACATTTGAACCCACGTACATTTGAACCACGTACATCTGAACCCACGACAATTGCACCTGCATACTATTGCACCTATGGAAATTTTTTGTTTTACGGATATTTGAACCCATACTAACCCTAACCCACATATAGATTGAACCCGCGGATATACACATGGGTTCAAATGTACATGGTTCAATTGTACGTATGTTCAAATGTACGGTCACCAATTTATGAAGATACGTCTAAATAACATTTGAAACAGCCATGTAAACTAACAGACTAACATGTTTAACTCAATAGCTTGATAAAAATGTCTGTCAAATATTCAGCACAGGTATAGCACGAAGTATTGTTTTAGATATTAATTCATTTGTATTTTCTTATTGAATCTATCTCCTATTGAGCATTTAAATACTTGTATTATGATTATTATTTCTAAAATTACCAATAGTATTCAGGTCATTTATAACAGATGAACCAGGGAAATTTTTCTTTGTAAGTTCTTCCTGCATCTGTTGCTAGGATTTCGGAAATATCTGAATTTGAAGCGACTGCCAAGTATTGCAAACTGCAGAATAACTTTTTTGACATATGCAGCAGCACGTCGCTTCCCTTAAAAACAAAAATCCACTATTCTTTAAAACATCTGGAAACAATACTGCAGTGGATCAGCCAAAATTTCATAAATCATTTTACACACTGGAAGTGTACAACAGGTGATTAGCTCAAGGAATTTTTAACAAAATAAATGCTATACAGCTGCATGCAACACATTTTGTATTTATATTTTTCTGTTATAGGATAAAAAACAGCAACGTTTCATTGCTTCTCCATCGTATGAAGGGCTCCAAATACTGGTACCTACAACATGTGATATACCATATAAGACCAAACATCTGTCATCTGTCCCCCGCTTTAAATGTAAACTATTCATTTTCTATATCGTACATATAAATTTTTCGTGGCTTCAAACATTTTTTAGAGTTAGACCATCGGGACTATTGAAAACCCACACTTGCCGGCTTCCGATCAGACCTGCTAAGTGTTTTGATCTAACTTGTCAATTACAAATTTCAGATCATACAAGATTTTCAGTTTGAAAGATGCATATTTTGCAGGTCGCGGGCAGAGAATCCATCGGGGCTCCAGTTTACATATAATGAGACGTTCATTGAAAAGCAGCGATCACTCAAAGAAATATGTTGCAATGTCCACGTGATAGAACCTAAATTGTGTGTACTAGGTCAGGCCATAATTCTAGGTACAAATACTACAAAACTCACTTGGTTATGTAACGAATTAACCAATAATTTTGGAAATAATGACATCAAGACTAAATATAATTCTTGAGTCATAAATATTGAAGAATATTCTAGAAGATTCCAATATGATATTTCAAAATAACATGTGAAATAGCGAATAATCCCCGTGTGATATGTCGAATGACCTTGTTTTACATGAATAATCTGTCTCGAACAATCGAGAAAATTGTTGTATCCTTCAAATACGATCTCAAACATACAAGGAGGTCATTCATTATCTTCAAGGAATAATAACTTGGAATTCATAAGACGTTTCACTGGTGACGCCGAATATCAAGATTATTATGGATTATACTTAACAATCGTAAGTGAGTCTTCATATCTTATTACTGTTTTGGTGGTTTAATATTGTTATTGTAATTTTGTAACTGGCATTGCTTAGTGGGGTTTGGGCTGTATTGAATAGATATTACGTAAGTTAAATTAGGGGTGAATTATTATAAATTAACACATATTACCCCAGAAATGTCAAAAGGACGACCCACAGAATTCGGACTTCAAGATTTGGATATTTCTGAAACTAATTCAGTTAAATACGAAATAATTAATAAAGTGCATTGGCAAAGTTTTTCTTCAATGAAAATAAAACCAGCTTTATTCCGAATAATAAAGATACCAGTGCGAATCCCTACCTAATAGACATGTTTAGAAACGTGATTCATCATTTTGTTTAATTTTATGGTTTTTTTTTTTCATTTTTAGTCTATTTCTAAGATATAGTACTTTTCCATTTGTATATATATGATGTTACAATTTGGCTTTCAATTTTGATGAAAATGGTAGAAGAATTTGAATGTTTAAACTTTAAACGACTTTCGAGAGATTTATAATAACTGAAAGCTTGGCGGGAATTAACAACCCCTTTTTGATTGGATAGATTTCGTCATTATTAAAATACCCTTGAAAGTAAATTCAGTGATTAAATGAGCTCCACGCTCGACTTAACTAAAATTAGACGAAAAACGTTATTTTCTCCGAAAAAACCTAAAGCTGGCATAACAAAACAAAAAAAAATGCGCTACTTCAACCCGACATGGGGCAAATATAGACCAACTAGGTCGCAAAATTGCATCAATGCGCTACTTCAACCCGACATGGGGCAAATATAGACCAACTAGGTAACAAAACTGCAACAATGCGCTATTTCAACCCGACATGGGGCAAATATAGACCAACTAGGTCGCAAAATTGCATCAATGCGCTACTTCAACCCGACATGGGGCAAATATAGACCAACTAGGTAACAAAACTGCAACAATGCGCTATTTCAACCCGACATGGGGCAAATATAGACCAACCAGGTCGCAAAATTGCAACAATGCGCTATTTCAACCCGACATGGGTTAATACAGACCAACTAGGTCAAAAAATTGTAACAATGCGCCAGAGGCACCCACGAGGATGACCAAATGGGGTCTAAAGGATCTTTTTCAGATGAAAAAGTCAAGCCGGTAAAGCCGTAGGCTTATGACTTGAGCTAAACACCAAGAAAATATTGAAGTGCCCAATTTCCACCAAATGGAGTGGCAATTTTTCGTCAATTCAACGTCTATTTTTCGCCAGTTTTTCGATTTATTTTCTCGTTGGTTTACCGTGTCATACGTAATCAAGAAAATATTGCAGTACTAATTTCCCACCATTTTATTGTTTCATTCCCGCCTTTTTTGTTCATCCGATTTTCAGTGTCTTATATATTTTTGCCGTAGTTTTCTCGCAATTTTCAGTGTCTTATACATATATTCGCCTAATTTTCAATGTTTTATTTCTTGCCCATTTTATTCCAGTGGCCACTTCCCCATCACCATATTGTCTCCATTTTTTGCCTATTTGTTGTTCAAAATACAGTCCGGCTGGAAAAACAAATTGTTCTCACAATCCCTCTAATTGCAATCACTAAAATATAAAAGGGCTACAAACAGTCATTATATAGATATATTGAAAAATTCGTATTGAAGATTGTTAATTAATTTTTTATAAATTTCAGTAATGCCTAAATGGATATAATCTTAAAATTCACAAACAAATTTAAAGTCGTGTGAGTGAGAGGAAGGTGATACATTGCCCTTACTTGTTCCACACATTTTTGCACTCCAAAAACAAATATTACTTGAGGTGGACTATATAAACAAAATTATGTGTAGCAAAATCGCTACCCCTTGTCGTGTCTTTATTCAATTTTTTATCCCAGGCTCGATATTGTATTCAAGTTATTACAATCAGTCGCAAGTAACGTTTATGGTTTTAATTTTTGTATATAAACCTATCAATTGCTGTTTAAAACGACAGTCAAGTTTTGTTGTCTTACTAATTTTATATAATTCTTTCAATTGCTGTTCAAGTGACATAAGTTAATCGTTATCTTGCCACTTTTGAGTCTTTTATTATTGCTTATTTACATCTGATAGTTTTCAAACAAATTACATTAACATTTCAATTATTATTATCAATATTTTGAGATTTTAAATTTGGACATTTGTGCATTGATGACATAATAATTTCAAATTCATCATTATATTTCAAGGGATTTTAAGACTTTTACAATTATCGGTTAATTTTAGTATGTCCTGTTTAAATATTTCGCATGTGGTCTCCGGAATGTGTAACGAATTAACCAATAATTTTGGAAATAATGACATCAAGACTTAACTATAATTCTTGAGTCATAAATATTGGAGAATATTCTAGAAGATTCCAATATGATATTTCAACATAACATGTGAAATAGCGAATAATTCCCGTGTGATATGTCGAATGAACTTGTTTTACATAAATAATCTGTGTAAGAACGGTCTCGAACAATCGAGAAAATTGTTGTATCCCTTCAAATACGATCTCAAACATACAAGGAGGTCATCATTATCGTCAAACATTAATAAATCTGATGATCTCTACTGTTATTAATAATAACTTGAAATTGTAAGTTGGTTTATTTGATTTAATTTACTGTAATATAATTATCGAAGGAAATAAAATCTATACAGGCAATTGTCTAGAATCTAGATCCTTGCTGTTATATCAAATTAACAGACGTCTCGACTTGAACAAGTAACCTATTATATATTCTGTTTGGAGTCAGATTAATATCTAACTAGTTTAATTAGCAACTACAACAAAAGATGTTTCAGTTAGTCCCCGAACTCGTAATAGAAATAAAATAAGGGAAATTGAAAATGGCATAATGATTAGGCGTTTTCTTCACTTTGGCTTTCCAGTAATCGCGTTATCCGCGATACTGACATCTAAGATAAAGATAGTTTAATTTGTTTGCCTTACATTTGCTTGTCACGAAAAGTGATAACGGAAGACGCATATAGCTTGGATTGACGTAATAAGATATTTATTCTAGATTACCAAAATATAAGAAATAATTACTCAGCCAGCGATAAACTTAGGGTGAACCTTCATTAGCACGTGTCAAGAAATACAGCGAAAGCCGGAAAACATCTCCAATATTCTGTACATACCCCTTACTATAATGCAAAAAATATAAGATTTGAAAAAAACACACCCGCCCCTTTTCAAATTAACAAATTAGTAATTATCCAGTTAGGGTTCGGGTTAGGAATGTTTTAAATTTATAGCGTAAACTGCATTCCTGTCCATAACCCTAACTGGATACTGAATTTTTTTCATTTTGAGCAGACGGGGGTATTGTACAAAAGATCCGTCATCTTTAACATTGAGTGTAAAATATATAGTGGAAGCAGAATTTCTGTAAATCAGCCCATTTCGTAGCACATGTGATTAATATCATTATTCAAAAATGCAGCAAGTCAATAAAGCGCAAAAACCATCACATAATGCGTACATAAGATAAAAAGTTTGAGAAAAACACACCCGTCACCTTTTAAAATAACAAATTAGTGATTATTCAATATGTGTTCGGAATAGGAATGATTTGAAAATTTGCATTTCCAGGGCAATCTGCATTTCTGCAGAAATGCAGCAGAAAATTGGGAAAACAATTGCTGACAACATAAACGCAAAAATCATCACATAATGCGCACATAAGATAAAAATTTGAGAAAAACACACCCGCCACGTTTTAAAATAACAAATTTGTGATTATTAAATTAGGGCTCCGATTAGGAATGCTTTGATAATTTGTATTTCCAGCGTAGTCTGCATTCCTGCAGAAATGCAGCAGAAAATTGTGCAAACAATTGCTGACAATATGAACGCACAATTTCCTCACATAATGCGTACATGATATAAAGATAGCCTATTATACTCAGCTCTATCAAGTTGAGGCAGATGTGTCATTCCCATATATTCCCTTTATAAATACCCTTATGATGATTATTGTGAGCAGTTCGGAGGAAAGACGGTCTTATTTCAATGATATTACTGTTTAGAGGCTTGAGATAATTATATCGAAGTTTGTGTGCTTGATACAATGTTGACATGTGCTTCATTACATCATTATATATTTGTTGTATTTCGATTGCAAAATTTCCACCTGTTTCCTGTATATAATTCTTACGTGTTTTCTCATTTTGAATTTAAATTGTTGCCCGATTTTAAATCGCGTCCACTCTTTTGTATTTTTGTCGAGTTTTTGTTGGTGGGTGGACGATTAGTCGTACGGCTTTTGATTTGTCCATGTTATTTCAGATATCTGTGCATTCCGTTTCTCCTCTTATTTTTTGTTGCTTTAATTTATGTCAGAAGACCGCAATATAATATTTGATTGATTTATATAAACTAAGGTAAAAATAATTTTAAATTCCCTATACTATGATAATCGATAACTATGGTATTTTTTTATATGATGACTTGAGATCTTTTGCCGGCGTTTATTGCGTCCACGCCGCTTTTATAACTCTGAAAAGGTAACTTGATTGATTTTTGATCGCAACATCTGTTTTCAGGAAATAACTAGACTCCCGGTAATCAGACTAAAATGATGGACTTGAAAATTATTTGCCTTCTTCTTGTGGTTTCGTTTGCAAATGCAGGTTCGTTGGTTTTATTTTAGTAAGAAGTTTTTGCACATAAATATTTCTGAAATAAACCCTTTCATTGATGCAACTTATTATCTTTTACAAATCTCAATTCCGAATTTTTCTTAATTGTTTCTTTATTCGACAACTTTTTGTGGTGTTTAATTAAATATGTCAGCAAATTTTAGACTTTTAAATTTTCCTAATTGATCTAAGTGGAGGCAAAAGGAAGAAGTAAAAGTATGACTAATTCTGACAATAATGGGTACTAAGCCCCTCCGCCACACATCGGGGAGTCGGCTCTTAGAAGAGCTCTGATCTAGATGCATATTTTTGCGACAACTTGGGTTGAGCTACGGTTTTCTCAAGTTTTGTGTCTTCTCTGTTGTAATGTTAGATCTATCTACCTGCTAACGCTCGAATGATCCTGTAACTCTTCATATTATTTACGTCGGCGCCTGCCAGGCTCTGAATGAATTTGTTCAAATAAAATAACAGTGTAAACGCGAAAGTGGTGAGCATAAAAGTAAATAGTCTTCTAGTGACTTCAATCGTCTTTGAGTACTGAATACTTTGAATTTATATAAATATGAAGAGAGCTCTGCTCAAATATATGGACACTGAGCGCATAAATGAAAGTAATCGCCTTCTAGCGAAAAATACAATCTTTATTCACTGAAAATTTCAAAGCCACTGGTTAAAGCGATTTTTTCATAACGATAGGATGAGGAATTCTAAAAACGAGACAAACAAGAACAGCAACAACATAATTATGACAAAACGATCCACATATCTACTCCGTGTCCGATAATTCACATCAAGTTGTCAAACTATATAATTCATATTATATTGGTTTATATCACCTTTGCTTATAATAAATTTACTATGTTCAGAGAAGTACATGACCGTGTACTCTAGTCAACAGGGATTAACGTTTTACGGAGATTCAAGGCCGTGGTGCAGCGCAGTGCAAGCTTGCATAGGAAGATATCAACATTTGGGAATAATAAATAGCGAGACGCTGAACATTGCATCATCAAAGATTATACAGTCTGGAAAGTGAGTAGTCATATTGGTTTACTCTGTACTTCCGAAGTACGTGAACTAAGTTGGCGGACACCGGTACGTAGTGTGTGTACCAGGTTAGGGTTAGGCCATAATTTTCAGGTACACATACTACGGGAGTCACTTGGCTGATCCCCGGACTCGTAATGAAACTAAAACGAGAAAAATTGGAATAAAAATTGTGGCCAACCCTATCCTGGTACAAATGCTACATTTCGGTGTCCGCCATCTTGGTTCACAAACTTCGGATGTACAGATTACTCTAGTCTAGCGTTTCCCAACCTTTTTTGGTTGCGGACTATTTCCTCATCGGCGGCAACCTTTGCGGACTCATGGTGCGTTTATTGCAGGGTCGGCAAACTTTTGTCGCTCGCGGGCCAAAATCAAGGGTTGCAAGTCGGGCCGCACATATTTTTAGAAAGTTGAAAACCGAACGGATGATACTTTTTATAATAAAAGTCAAGCAGTGATACATCTCTCGAATAGAATATAGATTTATTTCCTCATTGAATTGCATCTCAAAAAAATCCCATTTGAATATTTTCGACGCCATTGAAGCGTTTGCACCCAGCATCAACTTTTCTGCGTTTTGTTGCCATTGGTTTATTCATAATTAAATTATAGGCTCATTAAACGAGTAATTGTGAATTTTATATTTGTTAGATTATAATATAAATTTAGACGTGTCTCACAATAAATTCTGTTACGTAAAGAATATAATCGTCAAAGCAGCTGTTTTGTTACTATAATTCCGTAAAGTGTCGCGGGTCGGGCCGTAGTTTGCCGACCCCTGGTTTATTGCAATTGTACTCTGCGTGAAGGAGCAATAAAACCAAACACAACATAATTTTAACGAATTTTCAAATGAGAAATTCGCTGCAATTACGCGTTCATTGAAATAGCCAAATTTTTTAGTGTATAATGGTCGTTTCTATCGCGCAATATTCTATCCATGACAACGACGAGAATTTAAAATGTCTTTCTATTTCAATTTAATTGTCCATGGTAACTCGCGGTTGCGTCGACTTACGACAAGATGAAAGCATTACTTCCTCAAAATGCCACAGCAATCTGCGAACATACTGATGTGAGAATATATTGCCCGATTACATTTAGTTTTGATACATATTTTTTGCGATCTTGCGAATTTGTTACCGCCAATAGAAAAAAAATCCTACTATCTGCTATAAATTCCCAGAAAGTACAACTTGATTTAGTACTTATTAAAATATATATTTAAAGTATATATATATATATCAGTAAATCAAAAATACTTATTCATTATTAATTTAATTGTGATCATTTTAATCTGCGGTTGTATTGACGAAATAAAAGAAAATATCATGACAATCCGTGGACACAAAAATACGTAGTAAAGTGCCCGATTATATTTTGTTTTGATTCGTATTTTTGTGAATTCGACAAATCTAAGCTGTCCGTACAACATTTACGGCGCTCCAGTACTGTAAGTACCAATGTGGAGGCAGTAAAGCAAAGAATCCTAATGAAAAATGACCTGGTACGTATACTACGGTACAACCCGAAATTTTGCGATTTGCAGTGTCTAAAAAAGCGTTTTTAATCAGTCGCGGACCGTTAAAAAAAAATTATTCCTCGTTGTTCAAACTCGCGAGAAACCCCACTTAGTTATCTGTCGACGTGTTCTCCAACTCGTATTTTCGTCGGAAATCCGCAAGTGGGTTGTGAAATCCAATCGCTTGATTGAGCGACGCGCAAGTGACCTGTCGCGTCACCTGTTACCAAATTTTCGAATAGTAAACTGCTATTCTAATAGTTTTATATTCGAATATATGCCCAGTCCTACTCGGTAACCAGTAATTATTGACTCGATTAATGTTAAGTTTTAATGTTAAGATAGTTAAGTTTCGCAAAAACGTTTGCGACCCGCAGTGAATTTCTGACTCGTTGCGGACTCATTTAAACTCTCCCTGGACTCATTTGAGACCGCGGACTCGGGTTGGGAAACACAGCTCTAGTCTCAATGGTACAAAACCTTTTATGGCCCGTGGCCGCCTTCCGAAGGATTTCAGCACTCATGGCCTCCTTGTTCATGATTACAAAAATGGAGCAATGCACACATTGCGTACATTCTAAGAAGTCTCAATTTACTTAGGTAAAGCCAAAAGCAACGTAAGTCTATGTAACCTTTACGACAGTTATCTCGCAGACTTTTGATACTGTCGTTATATAAGTACACTAAGTTCGGTCGTTATCTGCAGATCAGATGGCCTGCCAACCAGCGAGCTATCCGCGGAGCTAATTCACAAGGGTATTTATAATGTTATTTTGATTGATCATAAATTAAAACACCCTTGTGAATTAGCCTTATCAGGTTATAAAAGTAGTAAGAACAGGGAATTTTCTTATAAATGTGCAAATAAAATTGCATTAAAATCAACTTTCGCCTAATATATTGCTCTCTATAATATGTTCGTAAACGGTGAGTACTGCCAAAGCATAAAATTGCCTTCTCTGCAAAATGAAAATCCTATAAAAAATCATAAGCTACATAAATTCGAACTGAAAAATATGTAATTAGGAAAAAATAAGTTACTTTCCTGGACAAAAAAGGTACAAATTGAGCAAACAAAAAATTTGAACAATTGCAGTCATTTTATTTTCAGGTGGGGTAACGTGAAACTAACTACATTTCTTGCTCTATGCCTTCGCGCAGATGGATCCGTATAATGCAAGGACGCTATACCAAGTGTGAAGATGACTATTCTATTTAATTCAAGAGTCTTGCTACACACTTACACAAATATATTTCTGTAACGTTTCGACTGACCGGCCGACCGACCGTCTCGGTCATACACAACGAAATATTTGTGTAAGTGTGCAGCAAGCCCCTTGAATTCAGTAGAATTTTATTTTCGTCTTTTTAATTTGTACTTTAAACAATTAAATTTGCAGAAGAGCTTGGCTGGGCGCCTCTGACATGTATACAGAAGGACACTGGATATGGTTTGACTCATCTCAGGTTTATTCTGGATATTACATGTGGTCTGTATGCGATATATATAATTGTTTCCTTAATTGTTTTTTCTCCATTTTTCTCATATTTTGTGAATTATGGGTATTGTGGGAATTATGGGTAGCAGGTGTTTTGTATACACAAAACTTTCTTGCTATCCGATGCGCAAAGAGTATCGCTACTGAAATGGAAGCTACTAACTAGTTTTGAATCTTTTATACAAAGCCCCCGCCAACGCTCCAAATGAGAAGGATAGGATAGGATTCGCATATTTATCCCGGGCAAGAGGAAAGTCGATAAGACGACCTAATCACATGGCGAAATACGGCCTCTCGTCCTGTTATCAGTCAATGTCGGGTATGGGATTAGTTAGCCAGTTATTTGGTTTCGGAAACATTGAATTGAAAATAATAATTATCCAGTACGGATTAAAAATGCAGTGGGTGGGGTTTGTACAAATGATCTCTAACTTTTTTTGGAAAGACCGGAATCTCTCCGGTTTAGCATCGGCTACCTTTTATTACCCCCTGGGGGTGTGGCGTTCGAAAATTTTGGAGGCGAGACATTTAGTCTGCAGCGTCACGCCAATGTATAAAACACACGCGAATTAATTAATTGTCATTTTTGTTATGTAATTCCAACTACGTGAGTTTGCGAAGATGTCAATTAGTTTTATTCGTTAATTTCCAGCATTTTAACACTTTTCAGCAAAGTCGCATTTTTCAGTGCTCTCGAAGTATGTGTACCAAGATGGCGCATAACCTGAACATAGTATGTGTCCAGGCTAGGGTTCAGATTGTGCGTCATCTTGGTACACATACTTCCGGAGCGCTCATTTTTCAAAATTCACGTTTAAAGTAAATGTGAATTATCTTATTATTCTTTAATACCCTTTGTAGATTTATATTTTGTTGATACAAATTCTCGAGAGCTACTTTTATTTATGTGCACGAATGTGGAGTTCAAGCATTAAAACAATCAAATAGAAGGTTTTCGTATTTAAACATAACATAATTGAACGGTATTTATATTCCCAGCATTGGACATTGGGCATAGAAACCCACATGATACTACATTATCCATGGGATATATCCATTTATTCTATTATTCTGCGTCGTTATGTAGGGCCGGAGGCGAACCTAATAACGATAACAACGAAGATTGCATGGAAGCAGGTGGGAAGGGAACCTATTATTGGAACGATGAAGGTTGTGGCGATAGCCATGGATATATCTGTCAGATTTGTAAGTTTGGTACTTTTAATATTTAGCCCTTCTAAGTTGAAAGTATAACCATATCCTCTTTTTTCTGACTGAATATAAACATAACTTATGAACATAAGTACCAATGTTCTTCAAACAATTTTCATCACGACCCACTTGGCAAGTCCAAATTTCCCGCGACCCTCAGGAACTTTCATGAGACCGATATGCTTGCATATTCTAGCACAAAAAATCAAACCTTGGCTCTGATTTGGTGATGGTGGTTCTCAGTCCTGATTCCTTCGCGGTCCATCGGGGGTCGGACCTCCAGTTCGGCGAACCCTGATATGGACAATGGATATGGGATATAAATGATGTTTTGAACATGTAAACTACCAACATTGAAAAAAGATCGTAAGTTTCAGTCATCAATGGAGTATAATAGATTTAAATGTGCAAAATTACAACAATTTCAAGTTTTATTTATGCAAAGTTTGTCTCATTTGTTTTATAGCGACAAGCCGACAACTTCCCGCCATGTATTCAGTGCTGTCTTTCAGTGACACTATTTCCACCTCCAATAGCCGAACTACCTTTTCGAACGCAAAGCAAGAGTGTGAAAGCAAAGGAATGAGGCTTGCTCGAGTCGATAGCAGAGAAGAATTTCAAATTTTGCAAAACCAACTTCCCAGGTTTGCTATATTAATGGATGTGTTCGAAAGGTGTTTCACTAAAACAAAACTAACGTACATGCCCTCACGGCACGATGTAGCTATCCTTTATGTTTTTTTGGGGGTGGGGGGGGGGGCAGATATTTGCGCTCTAAACAACGCTAGGTGCAAGTACCACTGATATCTGAGGATATTTCAAAAACAGATTTCCCTACATATTTACTTCGTCGTCCAACCTGTATATGCGCGCAACTTTATCCATATTGGTTGATTCGTTCGGGGGAAGGGTTAAACAAAAAAGAAAACGAGCAGATTTAAAAAAAAAAACATACGTTGGAAATTTTGAGAGGCGGCATATCTATATCGTTTATAATAAATGCACAAAGAAAAAAAATAATCTGAACGTTTTATTTACGCGTTTTTATCACTTTAGAAATTCGAACGAAAAGTACTGGATAGGAACTAAGCACGGGAAATGTGTTGCGATGAATAACAAAGATCTAGAATTTACTGATTGCTCAAGCACTGCTCTTCCATTCATCTGCGAAGTCGGTAAGTATGATGACGTCATCAAAATTAAAAAATTGCGCACCGTGTGGTGGTTCTTCGATCGCATTTCCTCGAAGTCGGGAGTTTTTTGATAAGAAAGATTGGGGGTACTTCAAAAGAGTTGATTACTACTTCGTTTTGACTTTTGTGCAATTTTGAGCATTGTCCTCTTGTCTTTAGGTCTGTCTATCTAAAATGTAATTGAATGCTCAGTTTCATTTTAATACAATGTTTGAAATCACTTAATTTCAAAATATGCATAATTTTTCATAGTTTCTCCATATGCCGTTGAAGTCTCTGACGAGTCTCCCAAAATACACGAGAACGACAATCTTCAGATCGATTGCAAGGCATCTGGTTTTCCTCTACCTGACGTATTCTGGTACAAAGATGGCGAACGTATCACAGAACAAACCGACCAGCATTTGCATCAGTCAATAGGTTCCGCGAGTGCTACGCTCAAAATTGACAGAGCACAGATGGGCGATGCAGGAGAATACAGATGCTATGCTGCTAATACCGCGAATAACTTCGAGTTGAATGTTTTCGGACTTCTCATGATGGAAGGTAAAGTAGTTATATAAGCTGTAAAGCTCGTCAAATCATTTGAACATAATTGGTTATTTTTGAATAAGCATGCAACTTTTTAGGACTCTCGCCACATTTTAGACCGAACATGTTAGGGCTTTACTCAATCAGAAAGTTAAATATGTTAAATTTGAATACCTTATTTTAGTGTACACCGAAGGAGAAGAGGAAATTGAACGAGTAACAGAGAATTTAGACTTTTGGCAGAGACTTGAAAATTATTAGAAACAGTGGTAAGCATTTTATTAGATATTCATTGGATCATATTTTATTCATTCAATGTATATGGTTGGGCATTTTCGAATATTTGTTGATTTCACAATCGGATACTTTTTTCGAATCGAATCTTGAATACGTGCTAATATATAATTGTATGTGACACTTTTTTTAATGGGTCCTCCAGACACATGAATTACTAAAAATACGGAATACATCACTCAGCCAGTTAGCGGAGTGTTCACACATAATAAAAAACATATGTCTCATCAATAACTAACTGGGAAGAGAAGAGTTATACGTCAGAATTGACTGAATAAAAAAAAATGACGGATTTACCTCGAATTTTGGCGAGCAAAAAAAAAAAAGATGGCGCCGATACAAAGTTTCTGCATGAACCGATGCAAATAATTTAGGCCTACTATGCCATTCGAAATGAACGGGCTTGTCAAAGGGTCGTAGTATTTCATTTTTCTGGAAATAAAATCAACATCATGTAGTAAAAGTTGTATGTCAATGACCAGATAAGTTACTAATTCACCAGGATTGTTGGATTAATAGTTTGTGTTCAAGTAACTTCGTTAATGCATTAATAGAGAATAATTAGGAAATCGTAAACTTTGATTCGATTCTCCTAAACCTGCACAGACGCATTTGATACATATTTCATATGCAACGAATATATTTTTATCTATGCTTCGAACAAGGCGCTGTAAGACAGCCACCGATATATAGGAAAGGAACTACTATTATTCGAAAGGGATGGAATATTTACCTCGGTACTGGCCAATTTCTTATCCAATTTATTACTACTGTGGTGGTGGACCCCATTCTTCATTTGGGCGGTGCAATTGTTTGTTAATCATAACACAAAAGTTTAAAGTAAAAATCGAATCCCATGTTACCCGCAGAAATCTTTGAAATAAATAAGTAAAAGCCTTCTATCGACAACAACAATCTACAAGTTTGAAAAAAAACGTCCAGTAGTTGAAGAAAATCAAGAATTTTTTTCAATTATAACAATAAAAAAAATTCAAAAAATATAAACATTAACAACAACAATTTCGAGAAACGATCCACTTTGTGTCCAAAAATATATACGAGAACAATGATAAGTTTGGAAAGTATGTATTTACTATCCATTTACTTCATTATTACAAACGAAAAATCGAATATAGCTTATAAGATTAGCAATGATAAGGTATGAGTTAATTTCCATCTTAATCATATATTCATAAATTGCCTTTTATTTTTTTCAGAGCGTCGACATTGAGTATGGAAAAATGTTCTAAAGAACTACGTCAATATATCAGTTCATTCATAAAATCGATTCATAAAATTCAATTTAATCTGCTAAACCAATCAAAACAGTCAATTATAATGTGGTATAATGACTTAATAAAAACCTACAATAAATCAAAATGAATCATACATTGTTCAGTCAATGATGTACATGTCAGGTAATCAGTCTTATTGCGTCAGTCAGCCCAACACTGCCCCCACTGTTATTTTTTGAAGTACTGATTTGTTGTTAGTGTGGGATATATTGCTGAAAAGGTACCCTGACATAACCATTTACAGTAGACTCTATGGCTGCCATGGGCGAAATCCGGCCCGCTGGGTAATTCAGTCGGCCCGCCGGATGCTGCCACAACCAAACTAAAACCAAATTTTGATGTCTTAGCTAAAAACTAGCCCAAGAAATTTGTTGAGATTGCGGTTAAATTGAGCTTTAGCTCGAGTTTATTGTTTTCCGCCTTTTCTTTCGTAACACTGTAAATATTGTTCATAAAATGTAACTTTTACGACACACTTACATGGCCCGCCAGTCTGGTGAGCAAAATTTTCTGGCTCCTGGTCCGAAAACATTGGTCACCCCTGCTCTATGGTATGCCAGCTATCAAGGATAGTAAGTTATACTAAACATGCTATCGAGCGCCATATTTCTCTTGCAATAAATAAGTTTATGTCACACTAATAAAAAGCATAAAGCGAAGCCTTAGATATCAGAAAAAGAAAGAAGAACACGCTTTTTATCCAGCAAAAAAATTTAAAGATTCTAATTAATAAGAACAATCCATGATATTGAGTTGATGTCACACCATTAAAAAGAATAAAGCAAAGCCTTGGATTTCATAAAAAGAAAGAAGAAAGACGTATTTTTACCAGCAAAAAATTTAAAGATTCTAATAATTTTAATTAACAAATACACAAAACAATAAGCTCAGTGTTAAATTACATTTTTTTGTAATCATATGCCCAAATGTTATGGAACATTTACATTGAAGGATGTGCCATTTCAAACACAGACTAAAAAAATACGCATTGCCTGGGGTATTTTAACAAAAAATTTTTACATTGAATAATGGTTTAATTCATTTTAATTAAGTGATCTTAATTAATAAGTCATGTCTTATGAATATTAGTCATTCAATGCTATTCATACACGTATTGAATATATATATATATACATGCATTGATTGATCAGAGGTATTATACTCAATGAAGTGAGCACGATAGATACCTAAGGTAGATAGATAGAATTTTATTTCCTGATATATTTACACCTAATATAATCGTGGCACGAACCTTCACAAGTTGACGATTTCAGGAAATTTTTTTTTGTCATACGTGATGCAGCAGATCATGATGTCTATTATTCGCGCATGATTAATCACTGATTCCAAATACACTTATATATAAATACCCTTATATTTTGATCGTTATTATATTATTACTCATTATAATATTAATAGGAAAATAATTAATAGGTACAAGATAATTAAAAAAGGTAATACGTCTAGGCGATTCAGGCATTTATTTCGAAGCATTGCATTAATAAAATCACTGTAGTTACATCTCAACTGTACTCTGTTTACCAACAAAAACTAGTATGCTCTCTTATTCTTGTAATATACGTCGCATCGTGATGTGGCAATTTCAATCCAACTTTATTGCTCTACATGTGCTGTACAATGTAACGCTCTAGTGTAAGTGCATGAAGTACATAAATTCAGTCTTGCCTGTCTAGTTATGTGCAGCATGAGGTAGTTTAAGTTCAGGGATGACTACATATTTCCATCATCGTATCACTTGTAGTAAACAGAGCAATGTGTAACTAACCTCAATTGTTAAAGTTAAGCGTCAGCATATTCCAGGCTGTTCGCTTGTAATCTATAGTACCATCATGGGCTGGCGTACATTTTTTATATATATATAAGTATGTAAAAAGACAACACAGTGACTCTAAAATGAAAGATAGATAAATACGAGATAGAGTTCTTTTAAACCATCATCGGAAAAACTATCAAATGGCAGTTATGCATTGAATAGTCAATATCAGAGATAGGCTTGCACGTAATTGACAAAAATCAATTCCGTAATTACTGCAAAATCAATTACGTAATGACCCCGTAATTGCGATATTTTTCCACGCATTTAAACCTATCATAACAACCAATTGAATCCACTTCTTTTCCGAAGGGGACATTGAAGTTGGGTTTTCATATTCTTGGCAGTACTACACGCCGGCGGCAGATGTTAAATACAAATATCAAGGAGTGAATTCAAATTAATTTTATTCTGATTTTTATCTTTTGTGTTAGCTTTGGTTTTCCTTTATCACCTTCGCAAATTAACCGTCCCATTTTTATGCGATCAATTTTATTTTATCATTACCGACACTGGTATACGGATATTTATGGAAACGATAGTTTTTTAAAACCACCTTAGTACTGAATAAAAATTACGGGTTTCTAATTTATTAACCAACGACGAGCGTATTCTCTCGTTTGATTATACTTGCGATTTCCTCGCGACGAAGACTTGTTTTTGCAGCGTCTTCTGCATTATCCGACATTACTGCCTTGTTAGCATTTTATAATAATAATTATTGATGTCGACTTATTGACGATATTCCGATTACCATGCTTCATTTTACATTTAATCATTTCGCGGACTGAATGTTTATAACATTATTTGCGATAAATTTAGATCAAATATTATTTATTTGAGTATAATTTAAATATGAACTTATATGATATGCCTTCTCCGAAAATACAAAGTTATATCGCAAAACAATGCATTTTGTGACATTTATTTTACACTCACGACATTTATTTGCTAACTCAAGTCGGCGATCCTATCGGCCAAGATTGACACAAGTTTGGTCGAGTGCCGGTGGTATTCAAGTCGACGATAAATCAAAATAAGTTGCCGCATTTGGTAAGACAGTTAATCATATATGGCCGAAATATTGAGAGGAATTGTGAAAAACATCATGAGCAAGGCCAAGTCCGGACTGATATATAACGATAAAACCGTTAACAGAACATCAAGATTTTGTAATAGAAAATGGATCTCGCACAGAATAAACACACTGGCTCATATTTGATTATATATGATAGCAGTTAAATTTTTAGCGGTCCGCGAGGAATCCGTCGTTTTGCTGTTTCTCTGCCGTCTCAATCGCTTTACCGATGCCGAGAAGACGAAGTTGCGTTGGTTCATTACGCAATCTCTCTTTTGTCGTCATATTGCTATTTGATAAGCGCGACATTAATTATCACGGCGAGGTATTGGCGCGAGTGATCAATCGCTCTTTTCGCTTATTTGGTTCCAATTCGTCGCGAAAGCTCTTCGTTAAATTTCACAAGATCGTCGTGTTGAAAGGTTATGGATATTTTCCTGTTTATACCCCAAGTCTGAAATAAAACAGCCAAAAACAGTATGATATTCCATGTTCATATATCAAGTGTTGATATTAACAATAAAGAATGGTTAAGCATTGCTAATCCACACTTGGTGGGGAATTCCCACTATTTAAACGCGTGACTATAAAATAGAAACGGAACATATATACCATAAGTAACGGAAAACTGGAACAAGTAAATAATAAATAAAAGTAAAATGGATACAAATGTTTGATAGACCATGTTTGAAAGATTGATCTCCTGCGTTCATTAGTCATTTCACCCGAAGAAGTTGAAACCGGGCGTGTTAGCGTCCATCGGTCTTAACACAATTCTTCCCCCTATCTACGGTTATTATGTACATTGGCCATGGCCATGCTAGATAAGATGCGAGAGAAGTTGAAACCAGGTGTGTTGGCGTCAATCGGTCTCAACGCAATTCTATCCCTTATCTACGGTTAAGTTACGGGAGAAGTTAAAACCAGGTGTGTTGGCGTCAAACGGCCCTACTCAGTTCTTCCCCCTTAACTACGTTAATAATTTACATTGGCCATGCCAGAGAAGTTGATAATAGGTTAGTAAATGGCAACGCGTCATGCCTTCCTTCACCTACGTAACAAGAGAGAGAAAAGTGAGAAAAACGGCTGCGAATACCGGAACTCTAACTTCTTCTACTTGTTGAGCTTTCATTTTTCGCAATCGACGAAATTGACTGCTTTGAAGAAAGCTCGTTTCAATGCAATAATTACGACTTTACGTAATTCGTAAGTTTCCTTCCGTAACTCCAAATAATTACGTAATTCCGTAAATCCGTAAATTACGTGCAAGCCTAATTCAGAGATAATAACACCAGCAGTAGCAAAGCTAGATATAGGTTGCATGAAGGATACCTCAAAAGAATGAAAATATAGATGCATCGCTAACAGTGAATGAGAGGTAACGACCAATATCGCATGAATTGCTGTTTGACTTCGACGTAAATTATAGAAGCAAATAAATCTATTTTTCCTTTTTATTAAACGCTTATTAAAAAAATATTTTCCAATTGCCCTGTGCGAAAGGTTCAGTTGGTAAAAGAGCGAAGGAATATACACATGCAGTATATTTCTTAGTTGAGTGATATTTTCCCAGAATGCGACTCCTTCATGTTAGTTTAATATATCATGCATGAGCATGATCGTTTATTGCCGTTTACAGCCAAATATATAATTCATTTGTAAGTTTGCATTAATACACCGTTAAAAGAAAAAAATGGCGGGAGACTTTATAACATTAAATACGGGATACAGAATGCCAACCATGACGATGGGTTATTGGTGTGTAAGTATAAGGTTTGCTGTATTTATTTTTCCTATTCACGAAATTTTCTAATTATTCTGAAAAGAGATATCGCCACACCATCACATAAAATCTAAATAAACGTGCTAAAGGAATGTGGAAGAATCTATAATTTTCTCATGAAGTATTCGTATAGATATCAATCACACGCACACGAGATTTGATCCAACTCGACTAGACGAAGCAAATTTAAATTTAATTAAATAAAATTCGAGATCTTAGTCAAGAAATAAATATACTTTGACAGACACAATTGTAAATTGCAATATTTTTGCAAATTTCATATCCAATGAAACGCATGCTGTTCACATTGCCTTACTTATACTAATGGGGGTGTTCGCCTCTTTGTTTTAGGCAGGTATCTTACAAAAATACCTACCACAAGAAAGTATAAATAATTGCCATCAAGGCACAAATCCAGATCATCAGAAAATTGGTACTTGACTATGAGTCAATGTTTCAGTCATGGCCACAACTCTACTCACTCCTCATTAAACTAAACTTTTATGAAATAAACCCTTACGTCATTTGATTTAAATCCAAACTTCGGAAACACGAGTAAAAAAGTGAACAATAGACCACAAAACCAGAAAAACAAACCAATGTTTAAAAACACGTCTGAAAATCTGTTCGAGTGAAAAGTGGTCTCAAAATTCAATTGTTATATCACCAGGGGTACATCACCAGCAAGGTTGTTTTTTGGCCGGGGGCCAGAAATATGCCCATCTAGACTGGCGGGCCATGTAAGTGTGACGTAAAAGTTACATTTTGTGAATATTTACAGTAAGCAAAACAGGAAAGCAATACGTTCCGTACAGAAACTAAATTTACTAACTACTAAAACATCAAAATTTGTTTTTAGTTTGGTTGTGGCAGCATCAGGCGGGCCAGATTGAATTAGCCAACGAGCCCGATTTGAACCGCAGTTCGTAGTTTGCCAATGTATGATGTTATATCACCGTTCGCTGACTTGTCATTGCTACAAAATAAAAAGGGAAGCTGATGTTCCGGTGCACATTAGGATAAAAGTTGAAATCATTTATATATACTTATGATATAATACTTTACATCTCGTGACAGGTATCACCAAAAGATGCCCGAACCACTACACGTGCTGCTATCGAATGTGGATACCGGCATATAGACAGTGCTTGGATGTATGGGAATGAGAAAGAGATCGGAGATTCTTTGCAAGAATTATATAAAGAGGGAAAAGTGAAGCGCGAAGAAATGTTTATAACAAGCAAAGTATTCAAATTAATTCGTTTTTTAGGAAATTGTTTGGCGATATCCAAAAAAAAAAGAATAAGTCATTTTCTCCTAAAATCATTGGTGGGATTCAGCTTGTTAGCGCGAAACGTGTTGTTGACCCATGAGATACCCTGTTTCCCCCAAAAAAGACAGGATCTTATTTAAATTTTCTTTCGAAAAATAACGTTAGGGCTTATTTCGGAAGGATGTCTTTATTTCCATTTATCAAAAACAAAATTACACAGTAAAGAATTAGGAGATTTCCGAATAAAATGAAAAATGTTGAAAGTTGCGTGTTGCGAGGTATTATTATAATTTCATCTTTCAACCATTTAAACAGCTGTGGCCACAATTCAACAACCCAAAATATGTGAGAAAGGGCTTTATGGAAAGCTTAAACAACTTGCAAACCGAATACTTGGATTTATTCTTGATTCACTTCCCATGTGCTTTGCCGGTAAGTTCTAGATAGAATACATAGGGAATGATAGAAGAACAATATTAATATTAATAATATTGAACTAAATATATGAACGCACGTATGGAGGGTCACCGGATTCGCAGTTTATTGAGCACTTCCTGAGTTCCATAAATGTAATAATGTAAATGATGCATCCTCGTGTTTGGTAAATTTCATTTTTGTGCCTAGTTCGGGAAGTTTTTATCTACATTCTGCAATTATTCGATTTAAATTCGGAATACGAGCTTGGAGTCATTTTTGGAATTATCGTACACATTGGCTCGGAAACCGAGAGTGGTGTAAATTTTTCTATAATTCATCATTTTATATATAAAGAAAACAGATGATATCATTCCACAAGACGAGAACGGAACTTATCTTCACGACACTGGAGTTCATTACGCGGATACCTGGAAGGTATGATATCTTTAAATGGAAAAGGATTGTCTCCCATTCGTTGATTAATTTTCGACATAATTCGGTGCCAAGTAAAATTTCGACTTACCTATATTTTACCTAATCTCTACAGCTGATCGATACGCTCTCTTATGTATTAAAAAAAATCTTTTTGATATACATTGGGTATCAAAAAAGTTGGCTGGTAGTGTTTCTGACAAGGTAGGTTCGCATCTCGTTGGCGATAAATGAGAAAGAATAACAATTTGGTCGTTGTGATTTCGAATTTATCTGCATACTCCGTTGATGAAAATTATTCAAGCACAACACCGGTACAACAACGACACAATATTGTTTCTTGATAAATTTCGAATTGAGTTGTGTTCGCCAATGTGGCATATTCTAGCGGTTTTCGTACCGTGCGATACCATGGATAAAATAAAGATTAGCTTTAGTAATTTCGCCTTTTTCTCTGCCCAGGAGGTCGAGAAGTTACAAAAGGAAGGTTTGGTTCGAAGCATCGGGATTTCTAATTTCAACGAATACCAGATAAACCGAATATTGAAAGATTGCTCGATTAAACCGGCTGTTCATCAGATTGAATCTCAGCCGTACCTAGCTGATGTGAAACATATAGAATTCTGTAAAAGAAATGGAATTGCCGTGATGACATACGCAGTGCTGGGCTCCAAAACAAGATTTTGGTGAGAGACTTTAGTGAAATATTTTAATGGCGTACAATACTCTACAACAGACTTTCTCACACTTTGTTCTGCGGAACATTGCTGTTCCGTGAGCTTCTTCGGAGTGATCCACGGTGTTGCGCTCGATTCTATGTAGCCTGGTTACTTCTCACGCACATTAAGAGATTGGAGACATCAAAAACGCGTCCCAATAACCCAGTCCTGACACCAAACTTATATCGGTTAATTGTTACAACTAGTCCGTGCTTTCAAGCAATTAAAGTCTGTAAACAGCGGTCTGTAAACCCAAAATAATTCAACTTGAAATCGGTGAATATCTTAGTGTGTTTTAAAGATATATTGCTGAATAGAATTCTAGCACATGCTTTTAAAAAGTCATGAGTGAAGCTTTAGGGTTTAATGTTTGACAAAAAAATTTTTTTTAAAATACCCATGTAAAATGGAATGGGGTTTGGGATGGAAGAGAGTAACAATCAACAGATACTTCAAATGAAATATCGAACATGAATCAGGAACGAAACGAAACGTTCGGAACTGCACGTGAAACGTAAATATTGATACCGGGTATGAGGAACGGAACGGTTTCCTGCCAAAATAATAGATAAAACTAAATAGCTCATATGACACAATTAATCAAATACAACAGCATCGTCATTTTGCATGCAATAACAATTCACAGCAATTAGCAGATAACCACATGTCGCAATTGTTTCGTTTCTTAATTGCTCTCTGCTCAGGATATAAACTCGTATACAACTGAACTCCGTTTATTGAGAACAGCGGCACAACTTAAACAACACAACAAAACTGCGATCATAAACAAACGTCTACAAGTTAACACAACTGTATATCGACTGGTGAGCCAGACGAATAGATGAGATATATTACGCCGCAACAATTAAGAGTTGTCGCGCTACTCATCATTTGAGTAATTACTCTACGTCACAACAATTATGTGCAGATTAAATCACATAGGATAAAATAGCATTCAAAATACTAAAATACAGAAAAAATTATACAAGTTAAAACAATATTTACATAGCAAATGTTTAGGAACTCCAGGCGACTCAATTCAACAAATTATAATCCAAAGTAAGTACATTAAATTCAACCCCATTCTAACCCTTAATTTTAAACCAATTAATAACTTCAATCCAAATCGTTTATCTTAACCGCAAATAGTAAACCCAATACGAAACACGGTAAGCAACTCCAAGTGCAATAGATTACATTGGATACAAGGCAGAAGGAGCCACCTCATCGAAGCAGCGTGTTAATCATTTAGCATTCCCGGGATTAATCGAGAAATAGGTCTATATCGCAATTTTGCTGAGTCGATACGTTTGCAACGTCCGCGTTACAAACGTCATTGAATTATAAACAAGTAGTGATTCTCGCAAACGCACGAGACAGGGGTCGAAATTAGAACGTTGGTTGCATTCTCGGCCGTACTTCGGCGTCTCTGTGTCGTAAATTTGTCTCCCAACTGACGACACTGACAGGCATTTCTATCTAAACAGGCGGACAGGTCTCGCGCCAGTCTGGAAAGCGTGGCTATTTCGCTAACCGTTGGTGTCATTTTTTTTTAATTTTCAAGTTTGCAGGAAATTTTTAATTGTACCATATAGTAGTTTTGTTCATACAAATTTAAATCAGCAAAACACAAAATAACTCATCAAATGCATGACGATAAAATAATTGAGTAAGTTCATGGAAAGAAAACGTTATATTTTTATTCCAGGGCTACCGACAAAGACCCGGTTGTTCTTGAAGATCCAGTTTTGAAATCAATTGCAGAAAAAGCGAGGGAAATCTGTCGCTCAAATAGCAATAAGATTTCAAATACAAAGAGGAGTAGCGGCAATCGCAAAAAGTGTGCAACCCGAGCGAATAAAAAGCAATTTTCAAGTAAGCTATACATGAGCGTTCTGATTAGTAAAATATACCCCAAACCAATGGACCGCACCTAATGTTCCCTCATACAATGTCATCATCATCATCATCACCTTTTTTTGAATAACCAGGTTTACGACTTCAGATTGACCAAAGATGAAATGAAGCTGATTTACGGTTTGGACAAAAAATGGAGAGCGTTTGACATGGCATGGTGGGAAAATTTACTGACGTATTTTTGTTAAATCATTAAATGAGCAGCTTCTAATTATTATTCCATTTGGACACGGAGTGGCCATGTGGATTGTTTCACTAAATCGTTGTTGATGTTCTGGGGACCTATTTTATAGGAAAATAAATTTTCTTTGCAACAAATGTTCCAATCGATTTTCAATTTTCATCACTACAACAGGGGGGTTGTCGCAAGAGAACTGTTTTTTTTTTTTTTTTTGTTTTGGAATATCTTTGTATTTTATGTACTACGTGATCCGACAGTTCAACAAAATTTTACTGTTTTATTTCAATTCATTTATTTCATTCACACTGTTTTAGTCCGCTAATCGTGACTGTAGACGCCTAGGTTATCGTTGCTTTTGAGTTTACAATTAAGGTGTTCAGCCGCATGTCTATGTGAGTCGCAAAAGTGCTGCGGTTAGTTATTGGGCTCTCTTGCCCCTATATTTAATCATTGGTCTATTGAATTATTTACTTGAACTCATTTCACGCCTGGAGCTTATTTATTCTCGATTTCATTTCAACCGATTGTTATTTATAGCTAAGCATGGAACATGGTTATAAATTAAAATTATCAGATAAACGTATTGCACAAATGATACTGTTTTTTTCTTCAGGTTTCTCAGAGGTCACAAATACTGGGCACACCAAGAAAATTATTCTGAAGATTAAAATGAACTATTTTTACGACTCCCGCCTATTTAATTAATGATGAATAAATATTAATTTAATTGCAATCACTTTCGATGTAATGGGAAATTACTAAATTGTCTAAGCCTTTTGCTTTCGCATTTGAATAATATACAGTTGCAACAAACAATATTTTACTCCAATTTCACCAATATTTGAATTACATGTTTTTATATCGATTTTCTTTAAATATTGAGCCAGTTAGTAGGCATCATTTTTATATGATGCAATACGCAGCTGTTAACTCCTTCTTTTGACCGAAATAATTATATAAAAAATAAGGTATTATTAATTTAATCATGGAATTGAGAATAATGATGTGAATCTTGTGATATTTTTGCTTAATTTTTTTACATAATTGTAAGAACACAAGATTGCAGTTTTTGCTTATAGTTTCATCTACGTGGCATCGTGTGTGTTATTTTGATGACTTTATTATGATGCATGTGCATTAATGTATAATAGTATATTGAAAATAAATATTAACAGAACACAAAAAATTTGATTTTGACTGCTTGGAAACGAAATGATTATTTAGAAATAATGAACAGTCATTTTACAGATCAGATTTCGCTTTATCTAAATAGCTTCATAAATTGCGGTAACGTACAGTTTGAAATTGTGAATTGGGTTATTCAGTCATATTGATCAAAGCAGTTTATGATGCGAAATGAACAGATCTGTTGTGGCGGAGATTATTAACTTTATCCAAAGTGTAAGAGAAAGCGAAAGAAGGTATATATGCATAAAGGTATATAGCTTTACATAATAAAAAGTGGAATATTATGTCCTAGTTAAAAAAAGTGAAGTTATGTTAAGTTAATATATTATACATTTGTAATCTCAGTTGATATGCTCGCCTTGAATTTTATTTTTATAAAGTCGAAAGAATTTTTTTTTGCTCGCGTGTACACCGAGGGGAGAATTCCTTCATTGACAATATATTCCGAAATGATCTCAACCGATTTACAGTCAAATAATAGTAAATAACCGGCTATTTGATTGTAGCGTAACAACATGTTGGTTTTGAGTGTTTGTGCTTTTGCGGTCAGACACCAAGAGTCAACATACTAGCTCTCACAATGTAACGCTTCAGTATAAGCGCATAAAGTACATAAATTCAGTCTTGCCTGTCTAGTTATGAAATGATCTGAGAAAGCGCGCAAGAATGTGTAGTTCAAGGTAGTTTGAGTTCAAGGAAGACCTATATTTCCATCACCATTTGTGGTCTACAAAGCAATGTGTAATTAACCTCAATTGTGAATGTTATGCGTCAGCACATTTCAGGCTGTTCGCTTGTAATCTATAGTACCATCATGGACCAGCGTGCATTTTGTATATACTTTCGAGTATGTAAAAAGACAACACATTGACTATAAAATCCAAGATAGCCGAATACGAGATCGACATGCAGTTCTGCGTTGAAACTTCGATATCAGAGTTGCAATACCAACATTAGCGAAGCTAGATAGGTAGTATGAAGGATTATTCTAAGCTAAGGAATGAAAATATAAATGCATCGCTAACTGAGTGAATAAGAGGTACCGACCAATACTTCATGAATTGCTGTTTGACTTCGATATAACTTATGTATAAAAAATATATGTTCCTTTTCATTAAGCGCTTATAAATAAATAATTTCAAATCACACTGTGCAAAAGGGTCAGTTGGTGGAAGCGCGAAGATACATAGATATCTCTGAGTTGAGTGTTGTTTACCCACAATATGAGTCTTTTATGTTAGTTCAATATGACATACATGAGCATGATCGTTTATTGTCGTTTACAGCCAACTATATAATTCATTTATAAGTTTGCAGAAATACGCCGTTAGAAAAAAATGGGAGAGGACTTTATAACATTAAATACGGGATACAAGATGCCAACCATGGCGATGGGATATTGGTGTGTAAGTATAAGGTTTGACATATTTATTTCTTTTATTTATGAAATCTCCTAATTCTTGCGGAGGGACATCGCCACACCACCTAATAAAGCTGAAGGAATGTGCCAGAATCTTTTATTTTCTTATAAAGCAGGGGTGTGCGTACTGCGGGATAAATGCGACCCACAAGGAAAAATTGTGCGACCCGCGAAACGATTTTTTAATTTAGTTTAATCTGGTTTGTGCGAGTAATTCCAATCCAGTTGCGTTATAAAATCTATACCGAAGTTCAATTTGCTGTCTATGCCCGTGACGTCACAATGCCTTAACAGCTATGGTTTGTGTGGAGAGAACCACGCATGTCATAAGATTAATAATAATTATTTGTATCTGAAACTACTAGATAGCCTATGTTAAATAAAGCTGCAGCCCACAGTTTCACCCAGTTATTTGTATATGACCCTCCTATATTAAAAGTTTGCACACCCCTGTTATAAAGCACAGTAGAGATATCAATCACACGAGATTTTAATCCTGCTGGGCCAGACGAAGCTTGGTAATAGAAGATTCCAACTTAAGAATATTTGCGTAAATTGAGCATGGTGACTGAAAATTTCTTGATATACCGAAAAAATAGGTTGGAAACCTACTAAATTAGAGATCCTAGTTAGGGAATGAATATTGATTGACGGACACAATTGCAATATTGTTGCAAATTTCGATATTACAACTGTAATGAAATGCATGCTGTTCAACTTGTCATTCAATTTACAAGACTAGTTACACTACTGGGAGCGTTGCCTCGTTGTTTGAAGCAAGTATCTTACAAAAATACCTATTACAAAATAAGTATAATAATTGTCATCAAAGCGCAAAACCAGACCTGAGTAAATGGTATTTGAGTCAATGATTCAGTCCTGGGCGCTCCAGAAGTGTGAGTAACAATATAATGGAAACAAGAGAGCTATGCTCAAATATATGGACACGTAGCGCCACCCAGTGGCAATAATTTTGATGACGTCATAGCGAAAAAAAAGTAATAGCCTTCTGGAGAACAATTTTATCTTTAACCACTGAAAATATCAAAGCAATTGGTCCAGTATTCGAAGAGAAAAGCGATTTTTTAAAAATGGAGACGGAGACAAATAACAATAACAACAAGAGAGCAATGCTCAAATATATGGACACGCAGAACAATTCCCCAAAACTCATATGCGGTGACCAACGACTAACATACCGGCGGTGACTTACCAGTACTTGTGTCGGGGTACCGTGACGGTACAGGGACTGTCATAGATATTTTAGGTCCTGTGACAATTGAAACATCAGTTGAAATATCTCGTGATATGAGTCAATTATGTACCGTATTATCGGATCAGGTACCGAACCACAGTCAAACATTTCACATAAAAACGTTACTAAATAACATGCGTCAACTTAACACCACCCGAATCGGGGTACAATTTTTGGTACAGTGACTGTCATAGCCGTTTAGGGCTGATGGACAATTCGACTACACGGACAACTCACCAGGCCTAGGGTGGTGTAGCCAGTCTGCGGACAATTTCATTCAAACCGCTATAAAACAAAAACCAATATATCTAACCCGTTAATTTTTTCACCGTGGGTGCATTGGCGGCATTTATTCTACACGCTAAACCTCGTATCAACTTTCTACGACAAAGGGTTAAAGCTATACAAATCCCCGAAGTACGGCACTCGAAAGACGTATTTGCGACCGAACGACCAGTGTGCGACCACGGATTTCAAGCCTTGATCATCGTTTCTGCTGCGTCGGGACTATCGCATACGCAGCCATACAGCAATCAAACAGACAAAACACGGTGGTCGCAAATTGGTTGACAAAGATATTATCGACGTATTAGGATAGGATTTACATATTTATCCCGGGGGAGAGAAGTAACTATCAAAGATGGTTAACACAACTCTACCCACCTGCCAAGTTTCATCTTTTTATCTCTTATATTTGTATGGATTTTCATGCTTTTGACAGCTACGAGTTAGTTCAGTGTCACCGCGCTGTGTTACGGTACCAGAACTATTCTATCTTTGGAAGTTCCTGTCTTGTGACAGCGTGAAAACATTGGGCTTCTAATTGCATTTCTGAACGTCATATATTTCAAGAACACGGTTATTTCGAACAAAACTCGTTAAATTATAAACAAAGCACCACATCACAGCAATCAAACAGACGAAAACACGGTGATCGCAAATTGGTTGACAAAGATATTATCGACGTATCGGAAATGCACACCCCCTATTCCCCCTCCTTCAAATGTAGAAACGCGAAACCTTCAAATATGGTTAAAAGAAACACAACTCTACCCACCTGCCAAGTTTCATCTTTTTATTTCTCATATTTGTATGGATTTTCAAGCTTTTGACAGCTACGAGTTAGTTCAGTGTCACCGCGCTGTGTTACGGTACCAGAACTTCTCTATCTTTAGAAGGTCCTGTCTTGTGACAGCGTGAATTGAAATTGCAAGATGGTCCGTTGGACACAAAATGGCGTTCGATATCCGCAGAACGTTTAGTGACGTCATAGCAAACAAAAACAAATCTTACAGAGCTAACAGAAATATTTGAAATAAATAAAAGTAATAGCCTTCTGGAGAAAAATTTCATCTTCAACCACTAAAAATTTCAAAGCAATTAGTCCAGTAATCAAAGAGAAAAGCGACTTTTTAAAAACGTGTCAAAGAACAAGAATAAGAACAAGAACAACAACAACAACAACATAATATTGAAACGATCGTTATGTCCACTACGTGTCCAATAACTAATTTTGTTCGCTTACTATACATCACGTTGTGTGAAGGTACTGAAGCCTAAATGCAAGGAGTATATTCGCTTGGCTAACACAGACAGCGCCCGAACTCGTAATAGAACTAAAATAAGGAAAATTGGAATCAATTTATTGCCTAACCTCTTAACTGGTTATGTTCAAACACAAACTACGAGAGTACCCAGTTCTGACCAAAACTCTACTCACCAGGGTTGCCAGACCCCAGCGATCAAAAAAAGTCAAATCAAGACATAAAAAGCCAACAATATTACTAAATACAAAAGCCCCATGATTTGTCAGATTTTAAGCCCTTGGCAACGTACTGATGATGATGTAGAGCCATCAGTTCATTCAGTGAGGCACACAAATAGAAAGTAAAGTTCCTATAGAACTGTAGAAAGTAAAATAAATATCAAGCGGGCAGCATTAATTTACCATTCAATATATACAATACAGGGTGCCGCTTCAGTCTGCCAGTATGTAATATGCCTACAATATGTTTCTACTTAAACTTGTGCTACACCTTAAAAAATTCTCCCTATATCGTACTTTACTATTGAAAATTCTTTCACTTTTAAAATTTATAAACCATCAATTTTATTAAAAAATTATCTAACCCCCTGCCGCTCACAGGTGAACCATTGATATCTAATTCAGTAATTTTAGCGTAGTTAATCACATCGTTACTGCATTTGCAATTGCAGAATTAAACTAAAGCTGAAAGCTCACATAAACCATATCAGGCATAATGAAAATGAAGTGAAATTAAGTAGCTAAGTACAGATAATAGGCTATTGTTCAGTTGTTACACACTAAATATTGTATTTCATATGATTTTAATAATAGACACTAGAATAGACTTGAAAAAGCCAAAAAAACGCCAAAAAGCCAAACGGAAATTCTGACGCCAAACGCGTTTGAAAAAAGCGCAAAATGGCAAATTTGGCGTTAAAGAGCCAATATGGCAACCCTGCTACTCACTCCACACTAAATTAAACTGTTTCTGAAATAAACCGTTAAGTCATTTGATTTAAAACTCAACGTCGGAAACACGAGTAGAAAAGTGACAAATAGTCGACAAAACTAGAAAAACAAACTAATGTTTAAAACCACGCTTAGAAACGCTTCAATTGTTATATCACCGTTCGCTGATTTGTAATTGTTACGGTAATAAAAAGGAAGTCGGTGCTTTGGTATTCATGAAAATAAAGTCGAGTTCATTTTATATATACCTATAATATAAGAATTTTACATCTCGTGACAGGTGTCGCCAGATGATGCCCGAACTTCTACACGCACAGCAATCGAATGTGGATACCGGCATATAGACAGTGCTTGGATGTATGGGAATGAGAAAGAGATCGGAGATACTTTGCAAGAATTATATAAAGAGGGAAAAGTGAAGCGCGAAGAGATATTTATAACAACCAAAGTATTCAGATTAATTTTTGTTTAATGAATTCGGTTTTTATTATTTGGTTTTAAGAATTTGTATCGTCGATTTCCAAAAAAATAAGGTTACTATCATAGTGTGTGTACAAGATTAGGGTTAGGCCATAATTTTGTCCCGATTTTCCTTATTTTTGTTCTATTACGAGTTCGGGGACTGTCTATGTTAGTAAAGTAAATATACCCCTGCTCTTAGGTTTCACTCCTTTTACATAACTTGATGTAAAGTAGGCGAACACAATTAGTTACTTCCATATTGGTACACACACTTCTAAAGTGCCGGAGATAAGAACAAGGCAAATCTAGCTTGCTCCCGTATAACTGTGCGATCCTGTTCTTGGAATATAGTGACAGTTAGCGCCCAGCATGGTATTCGAATTTTTCTGAAATGTGAGAACATGTTGTTGATGAGTTTGATAAAAAGAGAACGGGCTCTTAAAATTTTGAATGCAACCGCGCCTCAAATCTCAACTGAATCGTATTTATTGCCTAAAAATAAAGATCAAAATTTGTGTGTTGCGAGGTATCAATATATAATTCATCTTTTAACCATTTTAACAGTTGTGGGCACAATTCAATGACCCAAAAGATGTGAGAAAGGGTTTTATGGAAAGTTTGAACAAATTGCAAACCGACTACTTGGATTTATTCTTGATTCACCTCCCATGTGCTTTGCCGGTAAGTTCTAGATAGAAATATATATTGAATGATAGAAAAATAACTCACAAATATATGGATGCAAAGGCGGTATTGTCACCAGATTCGCAGTTTGTAAAGTGGCGCATTTAGGGTATGGCAGACATGACCAGTTGGTAAAAAGTTTGGTAATCCCATGGTATGTGTACCAGGTTAGGGTTAGGCCATAATTTTATTCCGATTTCCTTTATTTTAGTTCTATTACGAGTTCGGGGACTGTCCGTGTTAGCCAAGTGAATATACCCCTCCACCCATAGATTTCAATCCCTTTACAAAACTTGATGTAAAATAGGCGAACGAATTTAGTTATCTCCTTCTTGGTAGAGATACTTCTGGAGCGCCAAAAGTTTTAATCGTAAATTGTTTCAATAAAACAATTTCAACATGGAAATAATTCGAACTCTTTTTTTTCTTAAATAATAAAGTATCTCAACAGTCGTTAAAAATAGTCAATAAACGATCAAGCGGCGCATTTTCAAACTTTACCATAGGCCCCATTTTACGTAGATAAGCCACTGACTACGCGAGTTGCATAAGTATAATAATGTCGATGATGCATTATTTTGTTTTCATTTTTGTATGGAGTTCGCAAAATTTTAATCTACGATTTTGCAATTACTCGGTTTGAATTCGGAATACAAGCTTGCATTCATTTTTGGAATTATCGTACACATTGCCTCGGGAACTTGGAGCTGAATTATTTGTTAAAATCTCCCAATAATGCACCCCATTTTTTTCCTCTCATAAAGAAAGCAGCTGATCCATTTCCACAAGACGAGAACGGAACTTACCTTCACGATAATGGAGTTCATTACGCGGATACCTGGAAGGTATGTAATCTTGAAATTTCGACTGCCATTCGTTGAATAATTGTCGACCGGTAATGAAACATCGTAAATTTTATAATAAACATAATTCGGTATCGAGTAAAATACTGACTTACCTATATCTTCAGTCTCTACAGCTGATGTTGATGATAATTATTCAAGCACAACACCGGTCGGTACAAGGCGCTTTGTTCGTTTCTTGAGGAAATTTCGAATTGTGTTCGTCAATGTGGCGTATTTTCAGGCTTGTTCATGGGAATGGGATTCCCATGATAAACGTCTCATGGGATGGGACAGCACACATTTGTATTTCCCATGGGACACGTGGGACACGAAAACCGTATGATTTTCGAGGAAATGATGGTAAAACATTTCGTTGTGGATTTCGTGTCCATATATTTGAGCATAGCTCTCTTGTTAGTTATGAACAGCAAAGTACATTAACAAACAGCATTAACAATATATATACTTCGTGAAGGGGCTGATGGACACGTGTATAATAGTTATGAATATGAATTTAACAAAGTCCGTAAATTTTGTTGTTTTGCACGTCTCTTCGTACATGTAGTCCTATTTAGTAGACGCTAAACCTAAATTTAACAATTTTTATTGAATTTCATTTCAATGGGAATCCCATGGGATGGGATGGGACAGTCATTATTGCTATGGGATGGGAATGAAACAGAAAAATATGTCCCATGGACAAGCCTGGTATTTTAGCGCTTTTCGTATCGTGCGATACGATGGATGAAATAAAGATTTATTTATGAGTAATATCGCCTTTTTTTGTCCAGGAGGTCGAGAAGTTACAAAAGGAAGGTTTAGTTCGAAGCATCGGGATTTCTAATTTCAACGAATACCAGATAAACCGAATATTGAAAGATTGCTCGATTAAACCTGCTGTTCATCAAATTGAATCTCATCCGTACTTAGCTGATGTGAAACATATAGAATTCTGTAAAAGGAATGGAATTGCTGTCGTGGCGTACGCAGTGCTGGGTTCGAAAACAAGATTTTGGTGAGAGATTTCAGTACAATGCTACTGGCGTACAATACAATAGACGCAAATAGTCAATACCAACTAAATTGCTAATCACTTGATACACGACTTAGGTAAGAAGAGTTCGATTTGTAACCATAGTTGAGTACACAAAGTTGAAGAGTAGGTGTTTACATGTGGACGAACGGGTGCACGGTTTCAGACTTGCTCAAATTATATTACGGTAATGTTGTTTGAGACGTAGTAGTTATGTTCAAACAAATTTTAACCAGCAAAATGCTGAGTAACCCATTACTTATCGATCTTGATCGGTAAGTATGTTGATAGGTATTTGTCTGTTTGTTTGTCTGTCTGATAGATACACGCGATATCTCACGAAAGCGAGGTTGAATCTGCTCCAAATTTTGCATGTGCATTTATCATATCTCGGACAGAAGCCTATTGATTTTGGATGAATGAATGGATGGATTATGACGTATAATTAGCGAGGTATTAATTAATTAGTGATGTGCACGCGATGTCGCTATTGAGTCAGAGTGAAGGATACACGCCGCTAGATCGATAAGTCGGCGGTCTCTGATCGCTATCTCGTTGAATTATTATTGATAAAACACTCTGGTACTTTAATCAAAACAAAACTATATTTTTATTTCAGGGCTGCCGACAAAGACCCGATTGTTCTTGAGGATCCCGTGTTAAAATCAATTGCAGAAAAACGAGGGAAATCTGTCGCTCAAATAGCAATCAGATTTCAAATACAAAGAGGAGTAGGAGCTGTTGCAAAAAGTGTGAATCCCGAACGAATTAAAAGCAATTTTCAAGTGAGCTTTACACAATCGTTCTGTTAGTAAAATATATTTCCTTCCCTCAACCTCCTGATTCTTTCTTACATTGTAACTATTAACATCACTTTTTCGAATATCCAGGTTTACGACTTCAAACTGACCGAAGATGAAATGAAGCTGATTTACGGTTTGGACAAAAATTGGAGGGCGTTCGATATGGCATGGTGGGAACATTTACTGATATTTTTTAGTTAAATCATCAAAGTTGAGGCTTCCAATTTTTTTCTCTCTCACTGTTCATTGGACACGAAGTGACCATTGGATTGTTTTGCTAAATCAGTGATGTTGGAAGCGACTTATTTATTGAAAAAAATAAAGTTTCTTCGTAACAAATGGGTCGATTGATTTTGTATTTTTATCACCTAAAGCTTGAAGCATAAGTCGTCAGTTGTCTATTGATTTTTATGTTTATTTTTTCAATATCACCCAAGTTCTATGAGATCCGATATTTAAACAAACTTTTGCTGCTTTATTTTAATTCATGGGAGAGAACAGTGCTTTTGGTCCATTAAGCGCGATCGCATAAGCCACGGCTGTCAGTGGTTTTGATTTTTTGATTGAAGTGCTCAGCCACATAACTGTGTGAGTCGCGAAGGCTACCTGTACTGTGGTACAGTTATTGACTTTCTTACTCATATTTTCAATATTTGCTCTCTTGATGTATTTACTTGGACACCTGAAGTTTATTTAGATCTAGTCTCAATTTCATTTCAACCGACTGTTATTTTTATCAAAGCATGAAATAGGAATATAAATTAAGTAAACGTATTGCTCATATGATGCGTTTTTGTGTTTCAGGTTTCTTGGCGGCCACAAATATTGGGCACATCAATCAAATTATTCTGAAGATTGAAATGAGCCACATATACGACTCCCGTCTATTTAATTAATGACGAATAAATATGAATTTAAATGCAATAACTTTCAATGCAATGGGAAATTACTAAATTCTCTATTTGATAATATACCGTGAACAAAGCCTTTTTCTTCTGCATTTAAATAATTTACAGTTGCAATAACAAGCAATATTTTAAGCCAATTTCACGAAAATTTAAATTCATTATTTCTTATATCAGTTTTCTTCAAATATTGAGCCAGTGAGTAGGCATTGTTTTTATATGATGCAACTGTTTTCGCAGCCATTGACTCCACATTTTCAATTTCCGATTTACAGGTTTGGTCAGCTTAAATATATATAAAAAATATATATACATTTAAATAATTCAAACATGATTTGAAAATATAATGCTTTGATATGCTTCTGGTGAATTTACATGTCATCGCAAACGAAGTGAACCAATGGGTGTTTTGTATTATGTTGTTTGTGTGCAAAATCGCTTTTCTATTCAACTACTGGACCAATTTTCAGTGATTAAAGTTTCTTGTTGCCGCTAGAAAGCTATTACATTTGGAATCAATGAGATTTGTTTTTTCGAAGCTTTGTGTGATGTCGTCATCAAATTTAAAAAGTGCGTGCCGTGGTTGCATCTCAGTGATCCGGTGGTCAGGCAACCGGTACAGGGAAAGACGTGCTACTACTAGGGCTGGGCATTTTCGAATACCTTGTGATTTCAGAATCGAATCGAATAATTTTTTTCGAATCGAATCGAATCTCGAATACTTGAAAATATATAATTGTAAGCGACTTTAATATAGTAATTGGTCCTCTCAACAAATGAATTACTGAAGACAGAATAAATCACTCAGATAGATTACTGAGCGTTCACACAGAATAACAAACACGTTTTATCAATACCTCACTACAGAAAATAGTCATATGTTAGAATTTCGTTAAAAAAATATGACTCCAATGAAAAAAAAATTGGGGAATTCACCTCTACCATTAAGCGGAAAGATAAAAACAAGATGGCGGCGATTCGAAATTTAGCTCTGAACCGATTCGAATAATTTACTATTCGATTCGAATATTCGATTCGAAATGCCCAGCCCTATTTGGAAGTCGTAAACCTAGATATTCAAAAAAGTGATGTTGATAATTACAATGTAAGAAAGAATCAGGAGGTTGAAGAAAGGAATTATATTTTACTAATCAGAACGCCTGTGTGAAGCTCACTTGAAAATTGCTTTTTATTCTCTCGGGATTCACGCTTTTTGCAACAGCTCCTACTCCTCTTTGTATTTGAAATCTGATTGCTATTTGAGCGACAGATTTCCCTCGTTTTTCTGCAATTGATTTCAAAACTGGATCTTCAAGAACAACCGGGTCTTTGTCGGTAGCCCTGAAATAAAAATATAAAGCTTTCCTTCGATAAAAGTACGAGAGTTTTACTTATCAACATTAATTTATTGAGTTATTTTGCTCATTACTTTTTAAAATTTGTTTGAGCAAAACTACTACCCATTAAACAACATATCAATAAATAGCATTTGTTTGAGCACGTCTGTAACCCTGCAACTGACCACATGTAAACACCATTAATTTTTTGACTTTGTGTACTTAACTAGGGTTTCCACACGAACTCTTCTTAACGTAAGTCATGTATCAAGTGATTTAGTTTGGCAGTATTGACTATTTGCTTTCATTGTAGAGCAGCCTCTTTCAAACTTTTTTTGCTCTGGAACATCAACACATTTTATCTCGCCTCGCGGAACACCAAGAAATTAAGAGGTGAAATTGACAATTAAAAAATTGTGTAATGCACAAACGACTTATCACGGCATCTTTTGAGACTTCTAGTTTTGGGCCAGCAACCCATTGAGAAGAGTGATTTCCAAAAACTTTAGCCTATGGTACAATTAAGAAAATTCCTGTAAACTTTGCAATTAAAAAATTAGGCCGACGGTTAACGATATTGAACGGTTGACGAAAATACCATGCTTTCCAGACTAGCACGAGGTACAAGTGGTACAAGTGGGACACGTGGGACAAGTGGTACAAGTGGTACAAGTGGGACACGTGGGACAAGTGGGACAAGTGGGACAAGTGGGACACGTGGGACAAGTGGGACAAGTGGGACACGTGGGACAAGTGGGACACGTGGGACAAGTGGGACACGACATTTTTGAGACACCGCGATTAAACTACAACTCCGAAGACGGAAAAATAATGATTGACTTATTTGATTCATCGTTAAATTTCTGAATCACGACCAAAAACTAACGAACGAAAACTAACGCGGATGCGAGAAGGTCTATTGGTAGGTCACGTTTTGCATATTGCTGATTGGCCAATGTTAGAAAATACACAAGGAAGTCGAAGTTCGGAGAAATATCCCTAGGAAAAAAGTGCGCCATTTTTCATGTTATTGCGGGTCAGATGAAAGAACGCCACGGGCCGGATCCGGCCCGCGGGCCGTAGTTTGGTGAACCCTGGTTTAGCTACAAATAACAGATAGTAAGGCGAAAGTATGTTATAATAAAAAACACGTTGAAATACGTTGATGGAATGTAAATAATAAAATAAATGGAAAGTTTTGAAATGTAAATATCCGTGTGGGACGCGCTCTACCGTTCGAGAACCACTGGTTAAGACTCACGTTTCCCAACTTCGTAAGAATTCCCTGCGGTTGTTTTAGGGAAGAAAATTTTACATCGAACTTGGTATAAATTCATTAATATTGTTCACATTTTTAATACTATTGTAATGCATGTATATGGAATGGACACATTACAAACAATTTAAATTTTGCAAAAGCCAGAGTGCGACGTACGCCTAATTGTTTGTCTATTAAAGTTAAAACAATTAACGGAATACAGTTTTTACGAATAGCGGAGAAAGAATAAAGAATTTGGGAAAAATATGATAACTTGTACAGTATCATAAGAACTTTATTTATTTCTGCTAAAAACTTACCGGCAAAGCACATGGGAGGTGAATCAAGAATAAATCCAAGTATTCGGTTTGCAATTTGTTTAGGCTTTCCATAAATCCCCTTCTCACATCTTTTGGGTTGTTGAATTGTGCCCACAGCTGCATAAATGCATTGATATTATGTAAATACTACACAGTTCGCCTCATATTTTTTTATCTTTGTAAACTTTATGGAAGTTGATGTTTCGTTCGATAGTTGAGGGAATTTAACGCGATCCAGATGGGTTCGCTGATATTACGACACCCAAGAACACGGGCATCGTGAGGACCCCATGATCGCTTCACTGGATACATTTATATATCTAAATTAAATTAAATACAAATGCGAAGAAATCATCTAAATGCCTCGCTTGTTATAAACATTTCTTCTCTTTTTAATTTTCCTTCCTCATATAATTCTTGCAAAGTATCTCCGATTTCTTTCTCATTTCCATACAACCAAGCACTGTCTATATGCCGGTATCCACATTCGATTGCAGCGCAGACAGTAGTACGGACTTTTTCTGGTGGTACCTGCCAAAGCAATGAACTCACAATTTTTTATATCTACATTAATGGTCGCTTATGTATCGTTTTGAACAAACTCGAGTAATTGACTCGATTCAATTTCGGGTCGAGTCATCATATATCAAAGATTCGGACACTGGACTAGCTTGCGTTATAATTTGGATCGCTAAAACTCGTTGGGTTGAACGTTGGTCACATGTAGATTGGAGGAACTTATTTAGATTCAAATTATGGTAAGCTACTTAAATTTAATAACTTTCGAGGAAATTATAGAAGTTTCACCTATAATACTCATCTAAATAACACGGAAGTAGTCTATAATTCTTAGAGCTAGGTTTAGATACATTAATAGGTGTAGCTTTTTAATTGAACAAAATATCCGAATCGAATTGGCGCCCAGCAAGTAAAATTTCGTTGTGAGTCTCGTAGAAATATTTAATGTATTTCCTTTAGCGCAAATGTCTTGTTTAATCATCAAGATTTTTTTATACACTTCTCTAGTGTTTGTGAACCTGGTAGTCGAATATCTATACTTACTATCCCGAATCCCAATACCAAAGCTGGCATCTGATGTCCCGTGTTTAATGTTAGTTCGTACATGACAAACAACGAAACCAAGCTTTGCTGTCAAATATTATTTGTTCTTCAACTTTTCAAACTTAATCCGGACTTTCGGTTTAATGTTTTTTGTGAACTACTATATACCTTCGTGACAGCTATATATATTTTTAAAAAGAATAATTTTTCAAAAGTTTTTTAAAGGCGTAAGTTATGTAGAAATATAATATATATATATCAACCTAAAACACAAAAGAAATAAAAACGTATCGTAAAAATAGTTAGTCGACCTTCTCTGAAAATTTCATCTTATTACCAGTGTCTCGATTTTACAATAAACACTGCGTATTTTCATGACAAGTAAGCACGGCTCCTCCTAATCAATACTAAAGAAACTGTAATGTTTTCGTCAATGCCAAGTACGCGCTATTATCTTTTTGGCAATGAAATGATCCACCGAAAGTAACCATGCGAAAAAATTTGCACAAAAGCAATTTATTCCTATTTGATTGCCAAATATATAATTGGAATAACGTCGCCTGGTGCCAAATTGGCATAAGAAAAGAATTAATAGCAAAACGCATCGTTCAAATGTACAATGTTACAAACATTTTAATAGATATAATATTAAATAGAAATGAAAGTTAAGCTTTGAGAATTGGAGCATATCTATTATTTGATAGATATGTTCGTGGACCCTTCATTTTTTATGCGGATTTTGTTTCAATGCAAATACCGGTTATCATGCATACTAAGATATTGCAAGAATCAATTTTGGTGATTATTGTAAAACTGCTCGAGCTGGCGAAATTCAAATACGCGGACGTTGGATTGATTACGCAAAAAACAACATTAAACAAGGCTTGCGCTTGGTCACATATATGTTGTTGTTGTTAATCTGGTTTATGGCACTGATAACACCTGTGGTCTTTTGCACCATTAACATATTCGAAATGAAGAATTCTAGATATACAATAAAATAAATTTAATAATAGTAATCCTAAAGAATTCTGCCCTTAGAATACAACAAATTGTATAGCAGATTCAATCATATGTAATTACTTCTGCCGATCTTATATAACCATGCATGGATGGTGGAATAGACATTTATCATCGTTGCAACTTCGGCCGAATGTCATATCGTTTTCCGTATTTCATGATTACATTATTGTCGTTCTTGAAACCATGTTTGACAACCTCCACATTTATTTACCTATTTCAATTATTAGAAACAAACAGTACATACTGTACTTATTCAAAAAAAATAAAATAACACGCCGCACGGACTGAATAACGGACTGTTGTAAAATGCTGTAATACTGGGCGATTGCGACACATTCATGATTATATCTCCCTTCATG